CCTACGCGGCTCGGTACGCCGCTCACCAGCTGAACCTCTGGCCTCGCGTCTCTCGGCCAGGGGCTTCACCGACCAGTCTTTGGACAGGGTCCCCTGGTGTTGCGTCGAGGTTTAGTGTCTGGGGGTGCTTGGCTCTTGTCCGCGACACCTCTGCGGACAAGATCTCGCCTCGCGCCATCCCCTGTGTCTTCCTTGGTTTCCCAGAGGACTCCTCTGACTTCACCTTTTACCACCCTCCCTCCCACCGGTTCTTTGACTCTCGTGACGTCCGTTTCGACGAGTCTGTCCCCTACTACGTCCGGTACCCCTGTCGAGGTCTCCCGGTTCCCCCCCCTCCCCTCTTCCTGGCTCCAGCTCCTCCTCCTCCCGCCCCTGCTCCTCCGGTACCCCCCCCTGTTCCCGCTCCGTCTGGTGTGTCCCACGCTACTCCCCCCCCCTCGGTACCCCCCCAGGTCTCTCCTCCTTCCCCACAGTCGTCCTCACAACCTCCGCAGCAGCCGCCAGCGCTTCCTTCACCGGCCACTGCGGACTCTGAGGGTGTTGGTGCTCGAGGTGAGGGCTCTGGCGGTGCTCACTCTGGGGGTGCTGGCGGTGGAGCTGTTCGAGTACCTACAGGAGCCGCCCGTTCTGGGGGTGTTGGCGTTGGCGCTGAGCGTGCACCTGCCGCAGCTGCCCGTTCCGAGGGTGCTGGAGCTGGTGGTGGTGCTGGAGCTGGTGGTGTTTCTGGAGCTGGAGAGTCTGGGGCTGGTGCTGGTGCCACTGGAGGCACCACGACTGGGGGTGCGGGTACACCTCCTACTGGTGCTGGTCGTGCTGCCGCAGGAGGTACTCCCTCTGGGGGTGCTCAGCCGAGTACTGTCGAGGGCGGTGCCGGTTCTTCTTCTTCTTCGTCGTCTCCTGACACCACTCCTCCTCCTCACTCCTACCCGACTCGACACCAGGCCCGTCTTCGTCTTGAGCGTGAGGAGCAGCAGCGTTTGGAGCGTGAGAGGTTGGAGGTTCAGCAGCGGGTGGAGCGTGAGAGGTTGGAGTTGCAGCGGGAGCAGCAGCAGCAGCAGCCGCAGCAGCAGCAGCAGCAGCAGCAGCCGCAGCAGCAGCAGCAGCAGCTGCAGCAGCAGCAGCAGCCGGAGCAGCCTCCGGCCTCTGTTACTGGCCTTCGGGCCCTTGGTCTCCCCTCCTCCTCTCCTCCTGTGTTCGGTCCTACGTTTCCTCCTCCGGACTCAGCTCCGGCTGTGTTCCCTCGTTCTCAGTCTCCTCCGTCTCCCTCTCCTCTCGCCCACACTTGGGCCTCTCGTCCTCCTCGTGCTCGTCCCTCGTCTCCTGTCACTGACCTCCATACGGTGTTGTCTCGTCCTAGTCCTCCTCGTCCTCCTCCGTCTGTTCTTCCTCGTCCACCAAAGTCGTCCCTCACTGCCTCCCTGTCCACTCCGGTCACTGACTACTACCGCACGTACCGCCCCACTCTCTCTCGTGTTCTCGCCTCTCTTGTTACAGACCCTCGTGCCTCTCCTTCCTCCGTCGCGGTCCTCACTGCCGCTGTCACTGACTTTACTGCTACGCGTCGCCTTGACTACGCCACTCGTGTTGTGGCCGCTCCTCCTGTCCGTCCTCTGTCCGCCGGGGGTGAGTCTGCCCTTGGCTGTGCCGTCCTAGAGGATAGACAGTTTGAGCTAGAGTTCCTGGCAGCCGCTTCGCCTCATCTCTGTGCCATGCTGCTCGCTCCTGAGGGAGACCCCGACGCTCCTGACATACCTACTCCTCGCACTTACGCTGAGGCAGTGTCAGGGCCTTGGGCCTCTCAGTGGAGAGCTGCCATGGACGCAGAGATGGCCTCCTACAGGTCCACAGGCACTTACGTTGACGAGGTTCCCCCCCCAGGGGCGAACATAGTTGACGGCATGTGGATCTTCAAGGTGAAGCGGCCGCCGGGTTCTCCTCCTGTCTTCAAGGCACGCTACGTGGCTAGAGGGTTCAGTCAGTGTGAGGGGGTTGACTTCTTTCAGACCTTCGCGCCCACCCCGAAGATGACCACTCTTCGGGTGTTACTTCACGTAGCGGCGCAGAGGGACTACGAGCTACACTCCCTCGACTTCTCCACTGCCTTCCTGCAGGGCAGCCTACACGAGGAGATCTGGCTGCGTCGTCCTCCGGGCTTCACTGGCACCTTCCCGCCTGGGACCCAGTGGAGCCTCAGACGACCGGTCTACGGTCTCTGCCAGGCACCCCGTGAGTGGCACGACACTCTCCGCTCTACTCTGTCCGACCTCGGGTTTGAGCCGTCTTCCGCCGACCCGTCGCTGTTTGTTCGTCATGGGCGCACACCTTTCTTCAATCTGGTCTACGTTGACGACTTGGTTTTTGCCACAGCCGACACAGTTGCACTGGCGGAGGTGAAGTCCGAACTGCAGAAGAGACACACCTGCACTGACCTTGGGGAACTGCGCCGCTACCTTGGCCTGCAGATCTTAAGGGACAGAGCCGCTCGCACCATCACTCTGACTCAGTCACACATGGTGCAGCAGGTCCTTCAGCGGTTCGGGCTTCAGCACTCTTCTCCTACACCCACCCCTCTTGCTGTAGACCACAGACTCACTAGGCCTTTTCCTGACGAGCCGTTCGAGCCCAGTGGTCCCTATGCAGAGCTGGTGGGCTGCCTCATGTACCTGATGACGTGCACTCGCCCGGACCTCGCCTTCCCTCTTAGCATCCTTTCTCGCTTTGTTGCGACTGGGAGACACCGTCCTGTTCACTGGACGGCGGCTAAGAGGGTGGCGAAGTACCTCGCCACGACATCAGACATGGGGCTTGTACTTGGAGGGACACAGCCAGTTGTACTCACCGGTCACTGCGACTCCTCGTACGCCGACGACGTTGAGACTCAGAGGTCTACACAGGGTTACTGTTTCAGCCTGGGCTCTGGAGCTGTTTCGTGGAGGTCTACTCGGTCCTCCTCTGTTGCGACTTCTACCGCAGAGGCCGAGATCTACGCTGGAGCCCTTGCTGCACAGGAGCTACGCTGGTTGACCTTCTTGCTCACTGACCTTGGTGAGCGGCCGAGCTCTGCACCGACCTTGTTTGCTGACAACAAGGCGATGATTCTCCTGTGTCGTGAGCCTCGACTGGAGAGCAGAGTGAAGCACATCGACGTCAGGTACTTTCTCCTTCGAGAGTTGCAGAGACGCGGACAGGCACGTCTGGACTTCGTGGCCTCCGAGGCCAACACTGCAGACATCTTCACCAAGGCTCTTCAGCCTTGTGACCACCGCCGGTTTTGTCTGCAGTTAGGCCTCGTTGAGACTGGGTCTAGTAGACTGCAGTAGTGAGTTCTTGCCTCTTGTTTGTTTGTACCATATATATTAGCTTGTACACTCTTGAACTGGCCTTGTGGCCCCTTGTTTGTGCTCAGACTGTGTGGTGACGTTGTGATCCACCCTGAGCTTTGTTTTCTCTCTTGCTTGTGACTGGTCTTGTGACCTTAGGTTGCGTTTTGTTGCTTGGCATTCCCCACTTAGGCTATGGGGGTGTGTCAAATGTTATAGCCTCTAGTGGGTTATGCTATATAGGTATTTGTACCCCAACCCAATCAATCCAACTCATTGCGCTGTTTTTCAGTTTATGAGATTGATTATTAAGTGTACCCGGGACTCTTACAACTTGTGCCAAATAAATGTTCACCCTAGTCATTTTGCCTCTATTTTAGGAAAGTCCCCCGGGTCTTATATCCGGGAGAATACGGTATAAACAAATGTATTTGTATGCTTTTATTATCTCAATCATTTTATATTCACTCTGATATGAGGTCAATTCTTCCGCTGCAACAAATCCTATGCGAACCTTCCTAAGGTGATCCTATGCTCGGTGAACCTTTTGATCACAACAGGCGGGATAAGAGGGGGGAGAAATCCCGTTGGTATCAACCGAGAAACCTATCCGTGCAAAGCATGAAATTATACTGAGTAATTCTGCTCTCCTGTGTCGAAACGGGATACAAACTTGCAGTAAACGGGCGGGGCTTCACAGTGAGTACGCAAGGCGTGGGGAAGGCGTGAAGCTATTTTCCAGCTCTGTCATTCCTGCCCTGCCTATCCGAACTGACTTGGCATCTGCTCACGTCGCATCGCCAGAATGTCCTCTCCCCGCATCCTTGTCGTGAATGGCGCCAAGCGCGCTTTGCAGCACCAATGTGCCGCATTGCGAATTGCGCATTGCCCCTTCTCGGGTGGGCTCGAGAGGGCGATGTGCAATCAGAACCCAGTCACTGTATGCGACTGTCTTGACGCGCCCAATCACACGCTTGCTCGAATCCCCTCTATTCGACGCCAACCCGCCCCCCCTCGCTAGCGAAGTGCTCCCTTACACCTGGTACTTTCACTCTGAGCGTCATCACAGCCCTTGTCGGCCATCACTCCTCGCCGCAGCACGACAGAAGCGTCTCCTTGTCGACTGCGGGGAGCCTCCTGGCCATCTTCCCGTTCATGTCACCACACCATCATGTGACCGATTTCACAACTCTAAACGCCTACCCCAGTTGCTGCGAGGTTCTGATGGACATTTTGCCGTGCGATGAGCGAGTGCGTTGACATCGTGATTTCTTTCCGTGTCATATGATCATGGCGCAATTCAGCAACGGCGGCGGGGGTCCAGGCGCGGAGGGGTGGTTGGCAAAGTGCGCATTCCTGGCGGTGGACGGCAGGGAGGACTCCGCGCACGCAGCAGAGCGGGGAGATGCGGGGACGAGGGGCGCGGAGGCGAAGGCGGAGTCGGAGGCGGAGCGAGGGCGGAGGAACACGGTGGAGGTAGTGGCGGCCCTCGCGCTCGTCGCGCACCTGTCTGGCGGTGCGTTTCCGTTCCTGTCCCCTTGCACCGCTCTGCACCCATGCACGTGTCTGCTGCTGTTAGTGGGTCCCACTTCCAACCACCGCCATGCCTCACATTCTCGTTGCGCTCCCGCGCCACGCCTCTCCGTTCTTCTCAGGCAAGGCGCGCCACTCCCCGGCGGCATGGCAGCGCAAGCTGGAGCAGGTGCTGTCGCCGCACGCGTTCGCTCTGCTCGGGAGAGTGGTGGTGGCGGTGGTGGTGCCAACGCGCGAGCAACAGCTCGCAGCGGAGAGGGCGTGGCGCAGGCTGCAGCGGCAGCAGGGCGCGCAGGGGGGCGATGCAGCGGGCAAGGGGGGGGCGGTGGAGGTGCACGTGGTGGTGGCGGGGCTGTCGCGCCTTCCCCGTGGGCTGCCTCCGTGCGCCTTGGCGCTCGTCACAGCCGTGTGTGCGCCGCCCTCTGCTGCACCCGCTGCCTCGGTGTCCTCTCTCTGGCCGCCCTCCAGGTGCGTCGCTCCTCCTCGTATGCCGCATTCCCCATGCCCAATGCCCCATGCCCATGCCATGCCCCATGCCCCTATCTTATGCATGAATCCCCGTGCGCGAAACAGCTTGCCGACACACCCGTTTACCAACCATTTACTCTCATGCACCAACCATTTACTCTCATACTCCAACCATTTACTCTCATACTCCAACCATTTGCTATCTCTTCTGTTCTTGCCTCTCATACCTCATTGTGCACGCGCACCATCACATGTGTCTACATGCCCATGCACGTCCATGCATCCCCATACATTATGTCTATGCCCCTACACGCTCATGCATGCCCATGCATGCCCATGCATGCCCGTACACCATGCATCCCTCAACATGCCCATGCATGCATGCCCCATGGCTCCAGGATCCACGCTCTCCTTTCCGCCCCCGCGCCACTCGTCCTCATCTTGGGCCACCACCCCACTCTCTCAGCCGGCAGCGACACGTGGCGCCAGGTCATCGGCCTGTTAGAGGCCCAAGGCAGGTTCATGGATTTGGAGGAGGGTGGGGGAGCGGTGGCGAGGGCGATAGCAGCGAGGCGGGAGGCAGTGGAGGAGATGCGGTGCATGGTGCAGGGCGCTCGAGCAGCGGCTTCTGGGACCACCATGGGGGCTGCCTCACCAGACGCCACGGGCTGGCATGACCTGCCCTGGACGGTGGGTCACTGCATGCATGCTATGCTACCTTCCTGCCATGGCCCATGGGTTGTTGCGTGCTGCCGTGGGCTGATAGAAAGAGTATGTTGCCCTGACTCCTGTGCTATACGCGCAGGTCTTTTGCACCTTCATTCCCATCTGTGCTCTCATGTTCACATAGCAGCATCTGGTGGTCTGTCCCACCCCACCCACCACCATGTTCTCCAATCCTTTCCCCTCCTCTTCTCTCCACCGGCAGGGCCTTTTCTCACCGTCATTCGGGGAGGCCCTGCAGCGAGCGGAGTCAGTGGAGGTGGTGCTGCGCCTCTGGCGAATCCTGCAGGGCCGGCATGGCGGGCGAGATGGCAACCCCGCCGCCACCTGGCTGCCGGCAGGGCCGGAGTGGGCAGAGGATGAGGTGCCTCGGCGGGTGTTGAACGACATTGTGCATGTGGACGTGGTCGGCGATCATTGTCTCATCTGGTCCACCGATGTGTGCCACGACAGCCGCAAGCAGGCAAGCACAAGTTAGGGGGTCGCCTGCGTCCTCTATCTTTCTTCCTCGTTCCCATCATCGCACCAAGTTCCCCTGCTCTCTGTCTTTGTTATTCTTCATGGCTTCATTTCTTGTGTGGCATGCACGAAAGTTACTCGTTGAAAGAGGTAACTCGCCCTGCACAGAACGTCCATCACTCACGTGTCCTGCTGCACGTGCCTCAAGCAGGTGGTGCGGCTGTGGGCGTTGGAGGCAGAGGGGCGTGTGCAGCAGAGTGTGCAGCGCATACACTGCCACCTGTGCTGCTACTCACCTGCCTACCTGCACTACTGCGCGCTGCACCAGTACTGCCCCTCCTCGCCCCGCCTGCGCGTGCCGGCCCTCCTCCCTCACCGCAACATGCAGTGGTGGCGAACACCCTCCGGTGGGACTGCTGCCTCTTATTCGCTGGCGCCTTTGTTCTTTTGCACCAATTGCACTCCCAATCCGCAATCCTCCGTTCATCCCTCGCTTCGTCTCTCTCATTGCATCCACACCCCAACCCCCACCTTCCCTTCCCTTCTCACCTCCCTCCCCATCCCGCTCCGCTCTCCCCACAACATCAGCGGACGTCAGCGACACAGCAGCAGGTGTCAGCGCCACATCAGCGGACGTGGTGACGCCGCCCAAGTTCATCGCGCTGCAGCCCGCGGTGGCGCTCACGCTGCTGGCGCGGGGCGGCGGTGCTCTCGCAGCGTCGCTGAGCCACCTGCCGTTTGAGGTGAACGCGGAGGAGAGGGCCGCCATCCACTGCCCTTCCAGCCTCGTCGTGCACGGCCGCTCCGGTGAGTCAATCAGACACCTGCTCGCACTGCTGGCTCAGCTGCACCCACTCAGTTGGCACGGCAGCATATGTTGTTGTCAGCACATCTCCTTGGCAATTGCTGTCCGTTTCTCCCCAGCGTGCCACCCCCTCCATCATATTGACGCTACCATTTGCAAAGGCTAGAAGAGCTGCTGCTTGCCTTGCCCCAACTCAAACAATCTTTCTCGCTCACCCCCTTCACCCCCTTCCTCTCCCCCCAGGAACGGGCAAGACAACAGTGATCATCCACAGGGCTCTGCACCTGCACCGCCTCTCCTCCACCCGTCCTCTTGCCTCTCCACCCGCCCACGGAGGCACGGGCATGTGGGGTACTGTCTCGGGGGATGGTTGGAGCATGGGGGAGGGTGGTGTGGGCGATGGCACGGGGGTGCTGCGGCAGGTGGTGGTCACACGCAGCCTGCAGCTGTGCGCGTCCATTCAAGCCGACATCACCCACGCGTCCGAGTAAGTGTGCCTCACAGCGTCGCCCTGCTGCTTCTTTGTGACTGCATGCTGTCGTCTTTTCTGCCTTTTGTGCTTGTGTAAATGAACATGGGGGCTTCAGAGGGAGGGAGTTGTTTGGTTTGTTGTTGAATTTGACGCTGCGGCGAAATTGTGATGAAATTTACCCCCTCTCTTACCCCCCACCCAAGGTGGTCATTTTTCGCCTGCCCGGATTTCTTTTAGCTGCCCGCGTAAGCAGTTTTCCAGCATTAAAAAAAAAAAAAAAAAAAAAAAAAAACTCTCAGATCCATCGTAGCTACAAAGCTGCTGTTTCCTCTTCTGACCGCTTCTTTCTTTTGCTGCACCTTCGTTCCACTCTACTCGTATCCCCTTCACACCACCATGCTGCCATGCCTCTCCCACCCCCCCTTTCTCTGCTACCACCAGGTCGCTCGCTGCACTCGAATCTGCTCACCTTGCCTCGCAGCCCTCTGCGGACCTCCACAGCAGCACGGAGCAGCAGGTGGCGCCACAGCAGCAGCAGCAGCCCGCCCCGCAGGTCCCGCCTCCGCCTACCGGCGGCGGCAGCGCCAGCAGTAGCAGTGCGCAGAGACAGCACAGGCGTTACATGCTGCTGATGCAGGAGGACCTAGAGGCCTCTCTCATGGGCTCCCTGCCCTCATGCATTGCCGCCATCCCCCCCACGGCCTTCCCCCTCGCCCTCACGCTCTCCAAGCTGCTGCGCCTGCTGGATGCCTCAGTCACCCGCCCCTTCCTCCGGGCTACTCAGCGACAGCGCGCGAGAGAGGTGGCGAGGCGGCGTATGGTGGTTGCTATTGAGATGAGCGCCCACGGGGTGAGGGAGGCGTGGGAGCAGGAGGAGGGTGGGAGGGCGTGGGGTGGACACGTGGAGAAGGAGAGATGGGAGGCGAGGAGCGGGGGGGCATGGGGATGGGGACGAGGAGCAAGTGAGCACAGCAGGGGTGGGCGAAGGGAAGGGCTCTGGGATGAATGGCGGCAGCAAACGGATGAGGAGGTTACTGCGGGGGAGGAGGAGGAGCAGGAGGAGGAGGAGGAAGTGGAGGTGGACTGTGAGCGGTTCAGGCGGCAGTACTGGCCGCACTTGGACCAGAGGGCGTTGCGGCACGTGGTGGTGGATGCGGCGTTTGTGTGGCGCGAGATCACATCGCACATCAAGGGCAGCCTGCACGCCTTGCAGGCACTGCAGCAGGGCCAGCAGGGCAGCAGGGCCAGCAGGGCAGCAGGGCCAGCGCAGCCAGCAGGGCCAGCAGCAGTAGCACAGGGCACGTGGTGGTGGGCGAGGAGGAGTACGTGCGCGGCATGGTGGGCAGCAACGAGCGCACAAGCCCAATGGGCGAGCGGGACAGGCGCGCCGTGTACCGGCTGTTCCAGGCGTACGAGCGGCGCAAGCGGCGGCGCGGCGAGTATGACAGCGCTGACCTCGTGCTGCACCTGCACCAAGAGATCCGCCGCATGCAGCAGCGCCAAGAGCCCTGGTGGTCCGTAGACCACGCTCTCCCCAGCCCGCCGTGGGCCATCCCTGGAAGCACCACCACCGGGCTCCACCGCACTCCACCTGCCAGCACACCCAGTGCTCCATGGTCGGCGTCGTGCAGTGGCCCGTGTGCTGCGGTGTTCCACTGTGTGTCGGTGGACGAGGTGCAGGACCTAACTCAGGCGCAGCTCGCGCTGCTGCCTCTGCTGTGTGCCAATGTGGCCTCGGGGTTTGTGCTGGCGGGGGACACGGCGCAGAGCATCGCACATGGCGTGGACTTCCGCTTCGAGGACCTTGCCCGGGTGGTGTACAGCGAGTTTCTGCATAAAGGGGATGAACTCGGCAGGATCGGTGGAGGGAGGAGCGGCCACGGAGGCAGCAAGGGTGGCCATGAAAGGAGTAAGGAGAGAGAAAATGTGGAGGCTGGTAGCAGCAGCAAGGTGGCAGGGGAGGCGGGCATGAAGGCGCTGCCGACGTTCCAACTGGTGCGCAACTACCGCACGCACGCGGCATCATCCGCGTAGCCTCCACCGTGGTGCGCCTGCTGAGGGCCTTCTTCCCCGCCGCCATCGACCGCCTGCACGCCGAGACCAGCATGGTGGACGGGGCTGTGCCCGTCATGGCGTGCGTGGCGCCTGAGTGGAAGATGCACCTCGCCCAGGGCATGCCGCTCAGCGCCACTCAGGTGAGCTGAGCCCTCCTGCTTGTGCCGTTACGAACATTGCTATGGCGAATTCTCTTCTGCAACGCACTTCGTGCTTGAGCTAGCAACTATGGTCACGAGAGGAGTCACCCCTTCTCTCCGTTCTAATCCCTCTCCCATGCGTGTGCATCCTTGTGCGGCCGGCCACCAGGCCATCATCGTGCGCAGCAGTGAGGAGAAGCGGCGCCTGTTGGCGCTGTTTGCAGCAAAGCCGGTGGTGCTGACAGTGGAGGAGTGCAAGGGACTCGAGTTCCAGGTGCGCGCATGCCTGTCATGCTCGCGCTTTGATTCACCGGCAGTGCAGCATGCTGAAGTGTAGGGTGCTACTGGTGAATGAGTGATGGCGGACAAGCTGTGCTCGCGTGGAACCGGGCCACGGATGTTGAGAGGTGTAGGGCAATCTGCTGCTTTCTGGATTGTGTTGCATGGGTGTTGCATCACCGTGCTCGCATGTCATGTCAACTTGCACTGCGTGTCTCCACTGTTGCACCCACAGTTGCCTTGCCTATACTACACACCATCGTGCCCAGTGTCACTCTGTTAGAAGGAAATGCTGCCATGAGCAACAAAATGTTGGCACTGGGATTCGAACTCGTGACCTTCAAATCTGTCCTGAAAGTGTTTCAAGACAGATTCAGGACAGTTTCTGCTAAGGCGCTAGTTATGATGCACGCAAGTTTCGAACTGAGGACTTTTCGATTCAAGTGTTCCGAAAGTGTCCTGTCAGGACAGTTTGAGGATAGTTTGGCAAAATCAATCTCGGGCCACATTCGGTTTGAAACTCGGCAGCGAAGTGTCGAAGTCAACGGAATTCATACGGGAGTTACAGTCGGTGATCGACGGCATTTCAGTCGCGGAAATTCTCGTCTATGGAATTGTAATCAATGAAATTCGCTCGGCGAAATTCAAGGCTCGGAATTTCGCGTCGACGAAATTCAGCGCGCGACCCGGGTCGACACTTTTTCATGTGCTTTGTTTTTGTATTGCGTCCTAGTATAAAACCAGAGAGGACAAACCAGAAATCAATCAAGCGATTACCACTGCTATGTTTGTGTGTATCTCTAACTATAGTGGACCGTTTTCTACAATCTTTGGTGCGTTGGAATCGTTTTTTTTAGCTCTATCAAGATGCTATAGTAGTGGAATTCTACACACTCAACCTGCCCTCTCTGCCACCGTCCTCACAACATCCACCGTCCTCACAACATGCACCTGAGCCGCCGCTGCTGCCAGCTGTGCCGCCCACCCTGTCGGAGCGCAGCCCGTCTGAGCTGCTGCTGGAGGCGGCACGCACGTTTGAGGATATTGGGAGGAACGCAGAGGCAGGGCGTGCGTATGTGAAGGCGAGGAACTACGTGGAGGCAGGTGCGATACGAGATGGTGGCAGGCAGGCAGGCAGGGCTCCTGGTTGGGATGGACATGTGAAGTAGTGCTTTTGGAAGTGCTGTGCGAGTGGGCTCTTTGCGAGTGAGGGAGTATTACACATGTCTACTCATGCTCTTGCTCTCCCTTTGTTGCTTGCACCTCCCCCCCTCGTCTGTGCCCGCACTGCCTGCCAGTGCGAGTCTATCTGCATGCATGCCGGCCCCCGAAGCACATGGATGCTGCCCGCTGCTACCAGAAGCTGGGTCAGTTTGCGGAAGCAGCTGATTGCTACAGTGCAGGCGGCGACATGCACAGCGCTCTCCTCGTGTGCTTGCGCGCTCGCATCTTCCAAAAGGGCCTATCTCTTCTCGACACCTGGCAGCCACCTGCATCCACGTCAGCAGCAGCAGTGCAGGAGGCGCAGCGGGTGGAGCAGCTGAGAGGATGGTACGTGGTGGAGTGTGCGCGGTGGCATGAGAGGCAACGTGAGTACGACCGCATGCTCTCCTTCATCCGCCTTCACCACTGCCTGCCCACCAAGCGTGCCTTTCTGGAGGCAGGGCGGCATCTGAGGCAACTGGCGACACTAGAGGACGAGCAGGGCGACAAGAGCCGCGTGCCGAGGCTGCTGCAGAGAGCAGGGGCGCTGCTGGAGGCGGCACAGTACTTGTGGCAGCAGGGCTCGCCCGGGCGCGCACTCGTGTGCTTTGTTCGCCACTTGCACTGCCGCTTGAATGCCGCCGGGCGAGGGGCGTTGCGGGTGGGGATGCGGAAACGGGCAGCGGAGAGGGGGAGGTGCGGGGGAGGCGCTGAGATGAGTGCAGAGGAGGTTGAGATGGCTGGGAGGCTGTGGGCGGTGGAGCGGTGGAGCTTTGCTGAGAGGGACGCGTGTGGGGCGAGCGACCTGGCGTGGGCGAGGGTGGAGATGAGCGTGCTGCTGCTGGTGATGGCCCATGATGTTGCCATCGACACGGACAGTGACAGTGACAGTGACGACGCTGCTGCTGCTGCTGCTGTGAGAGGGGATGATGGTGATGGCTGCCAGGCAGCAGTGGGTGCCGGGGTGGGTGGAGAGGGAGCGGCAGTGCAGTGCAGGGTGGGTGGTGAGGCTGCGAGGGTGAGGGATGTGGAGTGGGAGGCGCGCTTGTCTCGCGCATGGATGGCTGTCAGGCAGGGGCAGGCCGTTCCAGCAGACCTTGTAGGGAAGTGCACGGGCGCGGCTGGTGCAGAGGCGGGTAATGGCAGTGGCGGTAGAGGCGGAGAGGGCGGGCGAGATGGGGCGAGTGGGGGGATTGCGGTGTGGTGGACGGCAGTGAATGTTGGGGAGGAAGAGAGGGAAGAGGCGGAGGAGATGTGGCAGGGAAGGGACGTGCTGAGGAAGGGGCGAGAGCAGATGGAGAGGGAGAAGAAACGAGGCGTGGCAGGAGGGTTGGGTGTGGAGGAGGTGGGGAGTGAGTGGAAGGGGGCAGAGCAGGTGCGAGCAGAGGTGCTGCTGGCGTGTGCGGGTGTGCAGGTGTGTGTGCGCATGCTGCAGTGCGCCCAGGACCACCTCTCTTCATGGCTGGCGCACTTCCACTCTGCCCTGTCCTCCTCCTCGCACCACGTGTGCTCTCCTCCCCCTACAACACCATCCACTGCTGCTACCCCTGCATCACCTTCAGCGTCTCCCTCTGCTGCCAGTACCACCAGTGCTGCAAGGGTAGTTGCAGCGCCAGCCGAGGAGGCAGCGGTGCGGCAGGTGGGTCAGGAGACATGCACGCCCCCTCCGCCGCCCATCGGCCCTCTCCAACAAAAGGCAGCTCTCTGGTTCTACCGCTGGCTGTCCCGCCTCTCCTCCCTGCTGTCTGCTCTGCGCCACCTCCACGCCCTGCCCGCTGCTGGCCCGCACCTGCCCCGCCTGCACGCTGCCTTCTCCCTGCTCTCCTGCTCCTTCCACCGCCACGCGCTCACCTCATGCTGCCAGGTGGACGACGTGTCGCTACCGTGGGTGCCAAGGGGTGATGTGCAGAGAGTGGCGAGCAGCGGGGCGAGTGGGGAGATGGAGGGGAGGAGGGCTGTGGAGGTGGTGGAGAGTGCATGGGAGAGGGAGTACGTGACCAGGTGGAGGGAAGCCCAGCATGTGGCGCGCACTGGAGGTGTCGATTGCTCTTCTCGCCTGCTCTCTTGTCTGCAACAGGTGTGTATGACCAGTTTGGTGCATGCCAGTTTGGTGCATGCCAGTTTGGTGCATGCCAGTTTGGTGCATGCCAGTTTGGTGCATGCCAGTTTGGTGCATGCCAGTTTGGTGCATGCCAGTTTGGTGCATGCCAGTTTGGTGCATGCCAGTTTGGTGCATGCCAGTTTGGTGCATGCCAGTTTGGTGCATGCCAGTTTGGTGCATGCCAGTTTGGTGCATGCCAGTTTGGTGCATGCCAGTTTGGTGCATGCCAGTTTGGTGCATGCCAGTTTGGTGCATGCCAGTTTGGTGCATGCCAGTTTGGTGCATGCCAGTTTGGTGCATGCCAGTTTGGTGCATGCCAGTTTTGTGCATGCCAGTTTGGTGCATGCCAGTTTGGTGTGGCTTGTGTGTTGGACAACCCATTTGTCGCCACGTGTCCTATTGATCCAAAAGCCTGTTCATCACACAGCACACTGTCTAACATGCATTGATAATCCAGCTCAGTAATGCCATGTGCCCTTCTTAATCCCATGCAGGTTCTACGCGCTTCCACTCTCAACGCCTCAACCCATGCCTCTGCAACGCCCAGAACCCCAGTCACAGCACATGCACCACCCTCCCCACACGCTGCTCTCCTCAACTTCCTCCCTCTCACAGAGCATTCCCTCTCACTCCTCCCTGTCACCATGCTCTCCTGCTCCCGCTCCGCCATCCTCCCCTCCCACGCTGCCACCCCTCTTCACCACCTCTTCTCCTCCCTCCTCCTCCACCCCTTGCCTACCAACCGCGCCTCTCCCCCCACCCGCGATGACCACAAGCCTGCCCGCCCGTGCTGGCCGCACCACATGTGCCACTCGCTGCTGCACCCCACGCTTGCCGCGCTGCTGCTCCACGACCTGCCGGCACAGGGACAGGCGACCAGAGCTTATGACAGCAGCAAGGCAGGTGGAAGCAGACAGGGGCGTGGCTGGGGGGCTGGGGAGGTGAGCAGAGGGGAGGGGAGGGGCAGTGACGCACGTGCGGGTGACGCGAGTCATGGGTCGTTTGCATTGGGGAGAGCCGTGCAAGCAGCAGCAGATGCGCCTGTGCCTGCTGGCCAGTCATGCTGGCAGGGAGATGTGGATGTGACAGCGGAGGACGCATGGGGAATCACGCTGCTGTTCCTCACATACATGCTCAATCAGCATCCCTACAGCGGCGGCTCAAGGGACAAGGACTGGGGGCTGGTGGAGCTGGAGGCACGCATGCGCGTGGCGTATGTGCGGGGCAACCCTCTCATGGCTCCCTCCATTGCCGGGTTCACTCACGCCCTCTCTGCCCGTGCTTTGCTGCATCAGGCATCGCCCCTCCCCAACGTGCATGGGGACTCTGGCAGGCTGCTCCACTTCCCCTGGAAGTCCTCCCTGCTGCCTCTTGCCCCGTCACTTGCTCCTGTTCCCGCCATCCCGCTCCTCCCCCACCCTCCGGCTGCCATTTTCAACGTCTCACCCCCATTTGCAAGCTTGCTGTTTGACTTGCTGCGTCACCTGCTGCCCACCTTGCGTGCCATGTGGGCAAGGGGAGAGGTGCCTGGTGGACCGGGCCGGATGGGGGGAAGCGAATGTGGGGAGGCGATGTGTGCATGGGAGATGATGCGTGCTTTTGATGAATTCGGTATGGCCATGGTCGAGATAGCTCCATCTCAATTTCAAGCTTTTTGGAAGAGGTTTCCAGAGACAGTTGGCCGGTCAGGCAAAGTGTGATTGGCTGTCAGATAGAGCTGGGGAGATACCTTAAGACATGCACCTACCAGTATTTGTTTTCCTGAAATTCTACAGTGGGTTTCCCACGCAAGGTAAAGGGTACCAGATTTCAGACTTTTACCAGTCTTATGTGCCTGATTTTCATACGGTACTTGTGTGCCGAGTCTGATGGATCACTCTCTGTTCTGAAGAAAAATATAGAAGAAACGAGGATTTCTAGTGTAACATTGTTGTTTTGTTTGATACTCACTTAATTTTTTTAACCAACGGTCCGGACGGCAGTTCGCGAGAACACGATGAGAACTACTGCCACACAGCCCTGTAATCCTTCGCCCGAACGGCCGTCCGGACCGTTGGTTCGGAAAAAGGTTACACGTCCTTAGTACCGTAAGTTAATGACGATGCGCATATTGCATATCCACCCAGCAGATGACAGTGGGGTGTTGATGGTCATGACTCATGGCTCACGGGCAGATCACCCCTCCCTGCAAGGTGCGACAAACGACTGAAGGCCTGGCATGTGTGACTTGCATCCAACAAGAGCTTCAGGCCTATTCAGAGAAAGTATGGGTGCGTGAGTGGGTGAGTGAGAGGGTGAGTGAGTGGGTGAGTGAGAGGGTGAGTGAGTGGGTGAGTGAGGGGGTAAGCACATGCACAAAAGGTGGAGCGTTGAAAAAGGCAGGGCAAGGAAGGAGATAGGAGGCAGTGCAGGGGTGGGGAAGGACAGGAAAACGGGGTGAGGAGGGGACGGTGGGGCGAGATGTACAATCGTTATCCAGCATGCACATTGCAAGTTGCTCATCTAGAAGATGGGAGGGGCTGGTTCTATCAGATGCCACACACGTCATTGCCGCGACTCAGACATACCAGCCGATTCCCTTGCAGGAAACACGGCCAGCAGGAAACACAGGACAGGGGCCTGTACTTCAATCACAGAGCCAAGAGCAGATACAGTGAACAAAGATTTTAGCAGAAGCAGTCCTCCACATTCCTTCCACTTGCAACTCATTCCCTTCACACCGCCCTTCGGTTCGGCTTTGTAAACTTGGCAAGCACCTTAAGGACTGTCACCAATCACATTGGATCGCCAAAGTGTACTTCTTAAGCGACGGCACCAATCACACTTGCCAATGCAACTCTGTGTAAGGGCGTGTCCAGCGCGTACATTTACACCACATGTGCCGCTACAGTTACCACTTTTTTCAATGTAACCACGATTTTACATTTTTTTTGGACATTGTACACCTCATGCACGTAAAGTACGGACACGCAAAACACGTGCGTCGTAACGCGCACACTACGCGGCCCGCACGTAACACACCCCAGATTCGAGGTGTACGCGTCCGACTCGGAACAGTGTGCCGGTCTGCGAAGGCAACAGTAAATTGGAGGGCTTCAATTTCCCACTTGACCAGTAGCACGCGATTTGCACATGCGCGTCAATGTGGTGTGCGGGATTTCAATTGCCGCCCTGGTGGTTACAGTGCATACCTGTCGCTAATTTCGCGCAACTTGCTGTGGTAGGTGTACCCTGTGGCGCATTGTGTCTTCCCGCTTTTTTTTGGACGCGCACCTTTCAGGGTACACCTGGCGGTACCAGTTTTGCTCGTGCTACAGAAAACGTAAAAATTTAGATTTTTCACCAAAGTGTACGCGCTGGACACGCCCTAAGAAATTGGTATTCCTGGTCTTAATGTGCATCAAAGCTTTACAGAAAAGTGCAGACCTCTCACCACCCTCCTGTCCATCGCCTTTCCTCCCTCCTGCCTGCCACTCACCTTGCTGGAGTTACTGCCACTCACAATGCCAATCGCCTTGCCACTCACCTTGCAACTGTTGGTCCCACTCTTCTTGCCGCTGGTCCTGCCAGGGCACGTGAGCTTGTGGGAGGGCCAGTGCGCCTTTTGGCACTCTCTGCTGCAATACGCCACCTTGCCACACCCAGTGCAGTTCTTCAGCTTCACACCACCGCCCTCCACCCTCCCACAATCTGCAGCACCGCACACACGCCCCCCACGAGCAGCAGTACCAGGGCCATCTGCAACTGAAACGGATCCAGCCGCATTGCTTGGTGCAGGATTAGTGCTTGGAGCAGCAGGGGCGGAAGAGGCAGCGGGACCGGAAGAGACAGACGCGTTTGGTGCTGCAGGATGGGAGGAAGACGCAGCAGGGGAGGCAGGGCGGTAGCAGGGCTCCCCCAGCAGCATCTCGCGCAGACACGCCACCAGATTGATCCCCCCGGGCCAGGGCTTCAGATAAGCCGGCTCCTCCTCCTTTCCTTCCTCTCCCTCACTCTTCCCACCACTTCCACTGCTGCCACTCCTCAGGCTGCTATCCCCACCATCATTCCCACACCTACCCTGACTCGCCGCCATGTCGTCACGAAACCTGGGTATGGCAGCCTGGGCCCACATGTCAACGCCCCACTCCCTTGACATGGGCGCTCCTGCCTTCCTGGGCAGCACATCTCTGCTGCTGCTCCTGCCGCACGTCACGTCCAGTCCCGGCCCCATAACCTTGGTCATGGCTCTCCAGGCGGACAGCATGTCAAAGCCCCACGATTTCACCTCAAGCCATACCTCCCCGTCGTCCTCCTCTTCCTCCTCGCCCTCCTCCCCACCATCCACAACCCCTACCCTGCCTCCGCTCCCCGGCTTCCTCTCGATCCTCCTACCACCTTCTCTAATTTCCACATCCCCGGTATCTGTGACCACCTCCTCCTCATCAGACATACCCATGATGGGCTTGGCATAGTATACAGCCACGCCTAGCAGGAAGAAGAGCGGCATCTGCCGTGCCTTCAAAAGCATCACACGCTCCCGCATGCCCGGATCCTGAGGAAGCTCCCTCATCTGCTCCGGCCGATGGCGCAGCGCACTCATGCCCCTGCGCACGCCGGCAGGGCTGGCCTCGTTGATCAACCTGATATGCTCCGCCACGGTGAGAGGCGAGCGCAGCAGCAGCGCCTTCAACAGCTGGTCGAACTCGCGGGAGTGCGCGGGGTAGGCGGAGAGAAAGCGGCCGAAGAGAGCCTCCACGGGGCGATAGGCGAAGTTGGCGATGAGAGCGCAGCACGGCACGTGGTAGATGAAGGTGCCGAGGCATTTGATGCAGTGCGAGCACTCGGGGACCTTGATCAAGGGCCCGAGGAGGGCTAGAAGAAAATCCACATCGGCACGGCAGCGAATGATGGGCAGGCGGGGTTGCCTGGAACCTCCTTGCCCCATCCCACGCCTTGTGATTGTTTCGGCCACTTCTTCCACCTTCTTGCTGCTGCCACTGCCCTTCCCTCCTTTCCCCTTCTTCCCTCTACCTTTCCCAGCCTTACCCTTCCCTACTGCTCGTTGCACAGGCTCAGATGACCCATGGTCACCCTCCTCCGCTGCCTCACTCTCTTCGGTCACCTCTGTTGAACCACTTGAACTGCCCCTCTCCTCTCCCATCCCACTCTCCCCCACAATGCCAAGTCCAAAGCAACGCGCTCTCGGGTCGTCAGGAAACTTCACAGCAGCTGCATCGCCATGCGGCCACTCATCCCACTCCAGAGAGAAGCCGCTTCCCTCGAGAGGCTTGGGGATGGCGCCGAAGCTGAGCAACAGGCTCGGAAGGTCCCGAAGAGGGTGACGCATGGGCAGGACCTTGCCCCGAGGGTTACTTTTGAAGCAACGTTTCTCTGAGATGAAATCCGAGCCGTAGACTCGGACCCACTGCAACATGCAAGCGACTCGATAAGTTAGGACAGCCATAGCGGGGTTGGTGTTCACAGGTACGAGCCCAGGGGCGAGAATGGCACTGGATTGAGCCGCTGCAGTGGACTTTTGAGATGCCTCATACGTTGTTGCAGTGACAGAAGACAAGTTGGTGACAGCAGTGGCGGGAGTAGAGCCACCAGTGGAGTCGGAGGGTACGGAAGAGCCAGACGCAGGAGCAGCAGTGGCGGCTGCACCAGTGGCATCTGTACCACTGCTTTTACACACTCTGCCCCTCTCACCCACCTCCCTTCTCAGCCTGTTCCTTGCCTCATAAATAGCGGCGTTTTCCACTTTGGCCTTGCTAGCGTTGTTGCCATCCACCAGCAATGACTGGTCCTCATAGTGCTCTGGCATTGACAGAACTGACGCCACTGCCAGGGCGAAATCAGTGCCTCCCACGCCACTCACATACATGCCCCTGGGAACATCCCTGCTTTCCATGCTGCCACTGCTGCCAACAGAATCACCACCAGCACTGCTGCTACTGCCGCTGCCACCACCGCAGCCGCTGCTGCAACTGCTGCCACTATTACCATTGCTGCTGCTGGACCCCCCACTGCAGTGGCTGCACCGGAACTCCCTCCCTTCCCCCCTCCATGCTCCAGAATCCAAGCCATGCCATCCACATACCTCTCCCACACACGCCCCTTCAGATTCTCCCTCCACTGCCCGCCCTGCCCATCCCCACCACCCATTGGCCCCTGCCTGCCACCGTCTCCTTCGCCCCCATTCTCCTCATCCCCTGACCCGCGCCCAGCATTGCTCGCCCCTATGCCTTCCAATCCCCTGCCACCGCCCATCAGCCGCATCGCAGCCATTGCAGCCGGCCCCGCGTTGCCCAGAGCCGCAGCTTTCTTCCCCGTTCCTCCCCTCCCCTCCTCCTGCCCCTTGCCAGCCGCCTTCTCCGCCCCCCCTGGCAGCAGCTGCTGCAGAAAGTACCCAAACCCCTCCTGCAGGTCAGCGCTCTCTTTCACTCCCAGCACCTGAACGAGCATGGACGCAAAGCAGTCCGGTTGTGCCTGCCTGCCTGCTCCCAGTGCGGTGACGATGGCAGTGAATGTTTCAGAGCGATCCATGTGGGTCTTCCATAGCGTTGTGACGCGCGGGGACCTCGCCACCAGCACCAGGAAGGCTGCGAAGCTGACAGCACGGCGGTAGGCAGCCCAGCAGCCGCGGCAGCGCCAGCAGCACGACGACACTGGAACAGCAGGTGGAGGATGAGCAGGGGCAGCAGGGGAACCCGTGGCAGAACCTCCTTTGGCCGCTATAGAAGCTTCAGCAGAAGATGTAGCAGGCGCGGTAGGAGCAGAGGAAGCAGCAGCAGCGGGTGTATAGCCCAGGATGGCAGGCAGGCGGGATCGGATCTTCCCCAGGTCCATGAGCACGCCCACACGCGGCTCAGCCAGCCACTCGAGCAGCATGGCCTGCACGCACAGCAGCGGCGCCTGCTCGCACTTCCACACCACCTGCTCGCGCGGCGACACAGTCACCCCCTGCTGCCCGTCTTCCCCCCCTTGCTGCTCCCCTAGCCGCTGCACGGGCACGCTCCAGGAGAAGTCAAGCATTGCCCGGGAGGGTCGGCTAGGGGAGCGGGGGGGATGGCGGGTGACTGGCCGCGGTGCAGGTGCAGCAGGAAGGAGAGCGCGCTGGTTTTACCCAGGGCGTGTTCAGAGCGGTACGCTACGGCACGGTCGAAGCACCACGCGCACTCCCCGCCGTCCCACCCGCCTCTCACGTCCACGTAGTGAACCATATCCGCCCGGCTCATCAGCTGAAGCTTCTCGGGTGCTTCCTGGCCGGCGGCTCGCGCATCTCGTCGCCGCTGCTTTCGGCTCGTTGACTTGCCGGGTTCGAGTATCTGGGCCTCCCATTTCGACAGCAGGTCCTGCTCGTCCTTCCGACCGGGCTGGTTCCGATGGGCGCGAGCAGGCCCGCTGAGATACGCGCAAGCAGGCCCGCAGGGTCGTCGGGAATTAAACGACATTTATTCAAGCGACGGTGTCGCGATTTGTGACGAGTGGAATGCACGGGCTACAGCGGCCTCTGAGATAAACAGTCCCTGTTTCAGGTGTGGTGATTTCTGACAAGCGAATTCCACTTGCGCGTATGTACTGCCAAACAAATCCAGCCTATACGGGACAGATCCCGGCTACAGCAACCTTCTATGGAATTTACGGCGTATGTACATCGAATAAATCCGGTAAAAATGGCGTCGATATGATGAGCTGTCGCTGTGGAAACGCGCTGGGGGTGTGACGTTTGTACGTGCCAGTGCTGGGGAAATTCAGATTCGAAATTTAGGAATTACGAGGTCGCGTTCGATAACCGTGTGCATTCAGCTCAACAAACTTTTGGCGAGGAAATTTGAGGTAGCATCACGCGATTTGCAAACAATGGTAACAAGATATTCCGTTGAAGGTTTGCGTTGCACCGCTGCGAAATCAGCGATCCGAACTCCGCCAAGTTCGTCTCAATTCCAAACGAACTGAACGTGAACCATCCCAATTCCTACGTCCGACGAGGAAACTTCCGACCCTGAAATTTGAACGGCTTGTTCCAACATTCCCCCTGAATCCACATGCAGTACTACTATTCCTCGATTTTCGGGATCACCAGGTCACTTCCTTCAGCAGCCTGAACACAAATGCACACTGTTAGCGGTCAGTTTTGCGAGGTTCGCTGAACTAGTGACCAGTAAGTTAGTTCAACATTATCTGGCGTTTGGCCATGGCCTTTGAGGTTAGGTTTCGAATACCCACAGGCTTGCTCCCTCGCGGATCATCAGACGGCCATCATAGCAGCTACTCACGTTCCAATGACAGTCCAGGTGGCAAAAAACCAACGGCATCGTCCCACGTGGACGTCCGCGTCGCTGCCTCTCCGGACGAGCCTCTCCGGTCGGTCTTCAACCGGCTCTTCCAGTCGCATCTGCCCGACTGCTGCTTGCCGTGCGATACACGTCACGTGCAGCAGGGAGCAGCCAGTGTCGTGGACGCCGCTGGGGAAAGTGATTCGGCGCGTGGGACTGGCACGCAGCAGCCGGTCCGGTTCATGGTGCTAGGGCAGGTGGTGTACCTCTCGCCTGACTCCACTGTGGCGCAAGCGAAGCTCAAGTCTGGTTCGAGCATCCGAGTGCTTCCTGTGAAGATCAAGGGGGCCACCGTGCATGGGGGTGGAGAGGGAAAGAGCAAGGACGGAGGTGAAGATGCTGTGAGTGCTCCTGCTGCTGCGCCAGCCGCGAACGTGATTCCTGCTGTTCCCGCCGTTGCTCCTCCTCCCGTTGCCGTGCTTGCTGCTGCGGTTCCTGCCGCTGTAGCTACCACTCCACGTCCTCCTCCTGCTGTTCTCGCTGCCTCACCTGCTGTCACACCTGCTGCATCACCTACCACCGCACCTGCTGCCACACCTGCTGCCACACCTGCTGCCACACCTGCAGCCACACCTGTTGCGGCATCTGCTTCTGCGGGCACGAGGCCACGTGGGATCGACTACAGCAAGTGGGACGCCATCGGCTCTAGCAGCGACGAGGACGAGGAGGAGGAGGAGGCGCACAACGTGCACGAGCGTAGGGGGGCGCTGGACTCACACACGTCACGGGGCGGCGCTGGCTCAAAGCCAGCAAAGGCGCCGAGTCTTGCGGGGTCTTGTGGGGCGGGCCTTTCAGAACTCAAGGAAGTGATTTGGCGTGCGCACCAGGACGTGGTGAGGCGCTATGGTTTCCCAGACGTGGTTGTTACCAAGGCCCACAAGGCGTCTGGAGGGAAAGGCCGGGGATCAGGGAGAGCGAGGGGTAAGGACGTACCTGGGAAGCTTCAGCTGCTGAGTCGGGAGGACATGGTTCACTACCTGGACGTGAGGGGCGGGTGGGATCTGAAGGAGTGCGAGTGCTGCTTCACCCGCGCTCTCACCCTGGGAGCAGACCGCGCTGAGACCATGCAGAGCCTCACGTTCGCCCGAGCGCTCCTGCAGAAGCAGCTGCCGGGCGCCACGCCCTTTGTGCCGCGCCCCGATGCAGTGGACGCGGGCGTGCTGGCGTTCTCCGCGGGCGTGCATGCGTTTGGAGAGCAAGGCGAGCGCGCATTGCGGGCGTCGCCCCATGCGCAGTTCTCCTGCAAGTATGCTCTCGCGCCCTTCGTCTGTGTGGAAGGCATGCTGCTCGAGTGGCTGGCTGAGCCGCATGTGGGCGTGCTCATGGACCTGGGGACGATCAGATCCTGCCTGCCTGCCATTCTGACCGATGAAGGCTCTGCTCGGAATAAGAGAAAAGGCTCTGCTGCTTCTGCTGCTTCTGAATCAACCCCTGCTGCTGCTGCTGCTCTTGCTGCCGCTGCTGCTCTTCCTGCCCCTTCTGCTGCCTCTGCAGCGTTGTCCTGCTGCTGGCGCTGCAGCAGCTGCTGGGCTGCCTACCGCCGTGCTGTGAGCTTCGCGGCCTTCCTCGTGCTGGTGGCGAGGTGGCCTCGAATGGACACCATGTGGAAAATGCATGTGGATATATATGATGCCGTATACCCAGTGCTAGCAGGGCAGCTGGGGGCGGGCCGACAGGTGGAGGAGGACTGCGCTGCCTCCGTGCTGGTGCAGGTGCTGGGGGTGAAGGAGAGTGCTGATCTGAAGGAGGGGTTTGGGTTCTTCGTGCAGCATGTGCTGTCAGGCGGGCTGGAGAATGCGCATGCGGAGGGGAAGGGGCGTGGGGGAGCTGGGCGGAAGTCTGCTGGGAAGGCGGAGCGGAAGGGGGGTGGGGGAGGTGGGAAGCGTGCGGGGCTGATGGGACAGACGGGGCAAAGCGGGAAGATGGAGCAGGCAATGGGCGCGGTGATGCGGATAATGCAGATGGGCGATTGCAAGGGGCCGGAAGACTGGTTGCCAGTCATGGAGGAGTATGGAGTTGAGCTGGCAGATGTGGCACACCTGGGCCAGATGTTTGGGGGTGATGGCGTCGGGGCCATGGGAATGGCTCTGCCTTTTGACCTGAAGGGAAAGGAAGTGGGAGGTGGGAAGGAAGGGGTGGGCGGTGGTGATAGGAAGGGTGAGAAATGGAGGGAGAATCTGAAGGGGCGTGTGTGGGAGAGGTATGTGGATGGCATGGCTTGGATCCTGGAGCATGGAGGGGGGGAAGGGAGGGAGTTCCAGTGCAGCCACTGCAGTGAGGGGGATCAGCAGCAGCAGCAGCAGCAGCAGTGTGAGCAACGCTGTGGAGGGCATAGATATTCCCAGGGGCATGTATGTGAGTGGCGTGGGGGCCTCTGACTTGGCCCTGGCCGTCGCCTCTTTGTTCTCCATGCCAGAGCACCGAAAGCTGGGAGCCATACTCTTTGCAACTTCTCAGAGCGCGAGCAGCAGCAATGTGCAGGATGCAGCTGTTGAGGAGGCCAGGGAGAGGCTGAGGAAGCGGAAACTGACAATTGGGAAGTCAGGGAAAGAGGGGAGCGAGGGAGGGGCAACAGGAGGAGGAGCGGAAGCAGCACCAGGAAAAGAGCGACTAGCTGCCAGTGCTGCCGCTCTGTCAGCCAGAGCTGGATCTGCTGATTACAGCAGTGTCTCTGGTGGTATGAGTGGAGGCAGCAGCATGAGCAGCAGTGGGATGCTCAGTCGTGGCCTCATGCCTGTCAACACAGACCCCGCCGTTGGGCTGCTCACATATCGCGTTGCTTGCATCTTGCAGTGGCTTCGAATCTACGGCTCAGATTTCATCTCCGCCAAGATGTGCTTCAAGGACAACCCACAGGGAAAGGTCCTGCCCATGCGCCACCCGCTTCGGGATCTTCCGAGCCTGCTGGTCCGGTTCGGCGCTGTTCTCCCGCCATTGGACGAGAGCACCCGCCTCCCAGAGTGGGAGGAGTGGGCCGCGGGGGACGAAGCTGCTATGAAGTTTCCTGAGGACTCCAGTGCGAGATGTTTCGGGCTGGGCAGGGCTGATGGCAGGCAGAGTCGCAGGAACAGTGGGAATGGGGCAGCGCAGCAGGGAAGCGTCCGGCAACCTCTCACCAAACAAGTGCTGCCGCTTCAGAGCGGAGAATCCTGCCCAATTGTCCGGTGCAGGGCAGATGTGGACTTGATAGTGGAGTTTGCGGGTTTGTTCCTGGAGGCACCAGCATGCGCGCACTGCAGCAAGTGCATAACCCTATACAACTCGCACGTCCCCTTGGTTGCTCTCATTGCCAACTTCGCCTATCGCCCTGCCGCCGTCCTTCTTGACCGCTTTCTCTCCGTCTTCAATCCGCACTCTGAGGTCTTTCACAGCCTTCTCGTCCGCCTGGGGATGGACTCTTCCTTTTACGCTCCTCACGGCAGCCTTTCTGGCAAGCGGAGCAGCAGCAGCGTGTGTGCGTTACGGGAGCGGGTGGAGAAGGTGCCGGCTGCGTTTTTGCTCAGCCTGGCACTGCTCTGCGCCACACCTCTCCTGCAACAGAGCGGGACGGAAGGCGGGCAGAATACCAGGGCTGGAGGGGGGAGCTCTGGGGCTGAAGAGAAGGCAAGCGGGAGGAGGGCGAGAAGTGGGGATTGCGGGAAAGGCAGACGTTGTGGAAAGGGTGGTGAGGTTGAAGGAGATTGTGGGGTGGTGTTGGAGGAGGTGCAATCCTGGTTCATGGTGGCAATGCTGCCAGCGTCTGGCATGGGGGGTGACGGGGTGGGCTGTTGTGGCAGGCAGGCAAGGGAGGAGGAAGTGAGTGCACGAGTGGAAGAGGCCACAGAGATTTACCAGTGCGCTCTGCTGCCCAGATTCCGTGACGACGTGAAACACGGGAGTGGGCTTGGTGGCTTTAGCAAGCGGAAGGGCAAGAAGGGGGAGGAGGCGGCTTACCTCAAGCCCTGGCCCGGGGGGATCAATCTGGTGGCATGTCTGCGAGAGATGCTGCTGGGGGAGGTGTGCTACCGCCCTGCCTCCCCTGCTGCGTCTTCCGCCCATACTGCAGCACCAACCACTGGAATTGCAGGAAAGGATGCGGCCGCGTCTATATCAGTTGCAGAAGGCTCGGGTGGTGCTGCTTGTAGGCGCCGTGTGTGCAGTGCTGTGGGGTGTGAGAGGGTGGAGGGTGGTGGTGTGAAGCTGAGGAATTGCTCTGGGTGTGGCAAGGTGGCGTATTGCAGCAGAGAGTGCCAAAAGGCGCACTGGCCCTCCCACAAGCTCACGTGCCCTGGCAGGACCAGCGGCAAGAAGAGTGGGACCAACAGTTGCAAGGTGAGTGGCAACGTGGGGGTCATTGCGAGTGGCAACGTTGAGGTCATTGCGAGTGGTTTAGTAAGTGGTATTGTGAGGGGCAATGTGAGTGGCAGTAAATCTGAGAAGGTGAGCGGCAGGCAGGAGGGCAGGGTGGTGAGAGGTCTGCATTGTTCTGTAGAGCTGGGATGCACATTAAGACCAGGAATTGCAATGTCTTACGCAGAGTTGCATTGGCAAGTGTGAGACGAGCGGAGTCAAGTTGCCAATTTGATTGGTGGTGTCGCTTAAGGCGATTCTATGTAATTGATGACAGTCCTGAAGGTGCTTGCCAAGTTTGCAAAGCACAAGGGATGCGTGAGTAATTGCAACTTGAGGGGATGTTGGGGTCTGCTGCTGGTAGAATCTTTGTTCACAGCAACTACTGTTATTGAAGTACAGGCTCCTGTCCCGGAAATGATTCGGCTGGTATGTGCATGTCCCGGCAATGACGCGCGTGGCAGCTGATGGGATCAGCCCCTTTTCCTGTCCTTCCCCACCCCTGCACTGCCTCCTTTCTCCTTCCCCTGCGCTGCCTTTTCACCTCTCCCCCCTGCTGTGCACATGCTTCTTACTTAATACTTACCCCCTCCCTCCCTCCCCCTCACCCGTACTTTCTCTGGGCAGGGCTGAGAAGCACCAGTTGCGTGCAAATAGGTGCACATCTCAGGCCTTCGGTTGATTGTCGCCCATTGCACCATGGTGCTCGTTTTTAGGGTCTTGTGTGAATTGCATTATTGTAATGTGATTCGTAAGAAATAAATCAAACAAGGTCTAACAACAATTAAAAAGCAGATTATCACTCTGCCACAGCCATGTACGGTAACACCTTTGGTTTGGACAAGACGATTACACTTCTGGCGAAGTTTTGTGGGGTGTCCGTCGTCGCCGTGACGAGACCAAGTCGTTCGCAAAAAGCATTCATAACAGGAACAGTTCGTTATGAGTTACCCGTCTCCTATACTCCACCTGATCCCATCCCTTTCCTTCCCGTCGGCATCTTCCCGTGCTGCCGCTACCAACGCTGCGACACAACCCTCCATCCAATCTCTGCCTTTGTGCTCGTCATGTCGCACTCGGACTGCCCACTGCGAATAGCGCACCACAGCCTGGGCCGAGAAACCCGTGCTACGCACGCCGGAACGTGGCGACTAGCGAAAGGGATGGAAACACGGCGAGCCGAGCTCGTCAAACTGGAGAGTCTTCCGAAACACGCCCAGCCGTTAGCAGTCCGAAATATGCCGCACCGCGCCCCATGCAGGCCTCGTGAATGCGGGCGTTGCGTAGTTAAATACGATGTTCCGCAGAATACTCTGTCAGCACAACACCCAGACGCACTCACATTCTGATTTGAGCACTCGTCGACTCGCGCCTTTCGACCATGACGAAGCTGTTGGTGTAAGGGCCTAATAAAGTCAAGCTATTAGAACTTAATCAAACTTAAAACCTCTCCTCGGGGTCACCTCCAAGGGTCCCTGGGTGCCTGGTACAAGACCAGCCCCTATCCTCGGGTCCGAGTTTGTAGAGAGAGGAGTTAAGAATGACTTAGCCAAAATAACGAGAGTACTTTGAACGTCGCCGCGCAGCGTACCGTGCAGATTGTGAATCCGATTAAGCTGAGAATTCGCTATAACGAAGCTCGCTCCAAGTTGCCTCGCGAAAAGTTATGCCATTGCGAAGTAATGACTCGGACAGCATTTGCCTAGCGTTGGAGTGCTAGCATACTAGCGTTGAATCGGGTAGCATTCCGCCGTCGAATAGCGCAGAAAGGAAACTCCAACGAGGAAGGAATTCGCTTGAATCAATTGACTATATTCAGGTACAAACAGAGAAGGATTAAAATAGTTCTAGCTAGCAAGGACCTTGGGAATCAACCTGGGAACAACCAGGGATGATCCCAAATAATTCCAAGCAACAGAACCAACCTGGCTTGACAAAATAGCAGGTGGTAGGTTGGTAAACAATCTCTGGTTCTGTTTTTTCAACCTGGGAAAACAACAACCAGGTTCAGGTTCTAAAAACAGAACCTGTTTTGTCTTTGCCCAACCAGCCAAATGCTGGTTCCGCTGGTTTCCCCTGGCCTTGTAGCATGCAGATACAGACAAACAACATCCAACCTTCACCTAAATTGTATCCCTATAGTGCCTGCCCTGCCACACTTTAGTCAACCAAATAAAACAGTACAATTTCGAGTTGGATAGAACTGGATCTGCGCAATCAATTTAACCGAACCGCAAAGCTTCCATCTTGGGTTCCTTTGCGAGCTCGTCCTTTCTGCTTGCACTGTTCATAGCGTGTACAATCTTGTGCCAAAACGCACATTGCGCGAGTACCTGCAAATGCATCAAGCGAAAATTGCAAAAGCAAACAAACACACGAACATTCCATTCACACCCAAATGCATTCACACACGCATACTCGTACAAACAGACGGCAGGATGTCGTGCAATATGAATTTGCACCCAACACACTCCCTCTCAGCCTGCCGGCTGCATCCTCATCATTCCATGCTAGTTCATGCTCATTCCACTCATGCGCACACAATGCCAATGAGGCTCATCCGCAAGCCTCTTAGTGAGAAAGTCTGCTGGCTGCTGGTGAGTCTTGATGTAGATCGGATTCACCGTCCCCCTCTTCACCTCCTTACGTAGCCAGTACCACTTGATACGCATGTGCTTGTTCAGCCCATGAAGCACAGCGTTCCTGGCCATCCCAAGAGCCCCCTTGCTGTCACAAAACAGCGGCGTAGCAACTTTCTGCTCCTGACCAATCTCCTCTAACAGCCTCCTCAGCCAAATCACCTCCTTCACCCCATGGAACATCGCCATGTACTCTGATTCTACGGAAGAGAGTGCCGTCTCCGTCTGCTTCTTGGACCTCCAACTAACAGGTCCTCCCCCAACTACGCAGATGTATCCTCCCACAGATGAGGAATCCTCCTTCTCAGAAGCCCAAGTAGCATCAGTGAAACAAGTCAGAAAGAGCTTGCCTTCTCCAAGCCTCTCCCCCTTCTCTTTCAGCACCTCCACCCCTTTCTGCTTCACCTGTGCAGATGTGGAGTATTGAACTCCAATGCTCGGGTGATAGTTCATGTACTTCACCACACGCTCAGCTGCATCCACCTGCTCCTCTGATGGATTCTGCACCACCCTAGCCAGCTGCCCAACCGAGAAAGAGATGTCGGGCCTCGTGTGAACCGCTGCATACAAGAGGCTGCCCACCAAGGACTGAAATTGCTGCTGCTCCTCGGCTTCAACCCCTTCATCCTCTGTAGCCTTCACAAGCTTGAATTCTGCTGGCAGGGGAGTTGCAACCTTGCGCTCATTCTCAATCCCATACTTCTCCCCCAGCTCTTTGATGAACTTCTCCTGGTGCAGCTTCAACCACCTGTGATCTGGATCCCTCTCCACGTGCATCCCGAGGTAGTACTTTACCTCCCCAAGGTTCTTGCACTTGAAGTTTTCCATCAGCTGCTGCTGCACTTTCTGGATCTCCTTCATGCTGCTGCTGAAGAGAAGAATGTCGTCCACGTAGACCAGAAACAGCACCAGCTTCTCCCCCTCGCCCTTGAGAAAGAGGCTCTCATCACAGCTGCTGGTCCTGAATCCCATCTCCTCTAAAACAGCTGCCAACTTCTGGTACCAGCAACGTGGCGCCGTAGATAGACTTTTTCAGCTTGCACACCCTGCCCGTACCATCCTCATACCCAGGCGGCTGCGTCATGAACACCTCCTCCTCTAAAATCCCGTTGAGGAATGCCGTTGATATATCCATCTGAATGATGAATTTCCCACTAACGGCTGCATCTGCCAACAAGACACGGAGGGTAGGGGGTTTAGCAGTGGGAGCAAAGATCTTGTTGAAGTCCTGCTTCTCCTTCTGCATAAACCCCTTAGCCACCAGCCTACTCTTGTAGATGGTGACCTGCCCCTTGTCATCGGTCTTGATCCTCAGCACCCACTTGCATTGTATCGCTTTCTTCCCATCAGGCAGCACCACCAGATCCCATGTCCCATTCTCTAGCAGGCTCTGGTACTCAGCATCCCTAGAAGCCAACCACTTGTCCCTATCTGATCCAGCTAGTGCCTCCTCCATGCTAGCTGGTTCCTCTGGTGCAAGGGCAAGAAAACAGTACGCAGGCTCGTCCTCCTCATCCGGGTCATAGCCATGAGGTAGAATCAGCATTGCCTCCTCGGTCCCAAGCTGCTGCTCCGCTACACCTGATCCTGCAGTCAGCTTCTTAGTAGCCATACGGGTACGTCCTGGCCTAGAGACGGGTGTCTCCCATCCCCTCATAACGACACCCTTCGGCTTCTTAGTTTTCCCCTGCTGCTGCTCTCCTCCCTTGGATCCAGCAGCTTCACTAGTGCTGCCGCCACTTTCCACACCATTTTCTCCACCAGCAGGTGCCTCCTGTACCTTCTCTCCATCACCATTTCCCGCAGCTGCCTTCTCTCCCTCCTCCCACACACTAGGAGTTAGGTCCAGCTGCATGGTGATCTGCTCCATCTGCTGGGACACCCGGGCCTCCGGCTGTTTCTCCCAGCTCCCATACATCATGCCCTCAATGAATTTCACATCCCTGCTGTCAAACAACACACCCTTGGATGGTTCCCACAGCAGCCATCCCTTGCTCTCAGCAGCCAGCCCCAAATGCACACACCAGATTGCACTCGCCCCCAACTTACTGCAGTAGGTCTTGGGGACGTGGGCGACTGCCATGCAACCGAACACCCTCAGCATGTCCACCGGCGGCTTCCTCCCAAGCCACCTCTCCAAAGGCACCCACGAGTCATCCCCAACCTTGGTGAGCACCCTGTTCCTAGCGACGGTGGCGTGCCGGACAGCATGAGGCCACATAGAATTGCTCAGCCCAGATTCTATGAGCAGCGCCCTAGCTGTCTCCAGAATTGTCCGGTTTGCCCGTTCTGCTACACCATTGGACTGTGGGGTGTAAGCCGTGGTCAGCTCCCTCTGGATGCCCTGCTTCTTGAGCCAGGCCGTCATTTCAGCTCCAAGGAACTCACCACCCCGGTCTGTCCTAATCCGCTTCACTACACACTCCGCCTGCTTCTCCACGAATGGCAGCCAATCGTCCCATATCGTGGAGGCGGCGTGGTCCTTCTGCTTCAGCGGATACGCCCACATCAGCCTGCTCCAGTCATCCACAATTGTAAGGAAATACCGCTCCCCCTTGTGCCTTTGCACCGGCAGCGGCCCCACCAAGTCCATGTGGACCAGCTCCAAAGGCTTCTTGCTCCTGCCAGCCATACTATGGAAAGGGAAACGGGTGAACTTTGAAAGCAAACAGATTTCACAGTTGTCATTGGGTGGCTGTCCGTTCAGCTTCAATCCTTTAACGGCTCCATCCTTCTCCAGTTGCTTCAGCAAAGGCATTACCACATGCCCCAAGCGTCGGTGTGCCGTTGCCCAATCCGTCTCCCCAGATCTGGCCGACACTTTCACGCCAACCCCTCCAACTGCGTTGCACTCCCCTTGGGATGCAGACCCCTCTCTAGCCTGCCCCCCACCGTGCCACGCCAACGCCGGCAGCTGCCACATGGATCTGTACACGTCCTTGCTCTCGTGCAGATCCCAAAGCACCCGATTGCCCAGCTGCCCCTTGTACGTGCGAGCCCCATCCGTGCTAGTGCTCACCCCAGCCTTGGCAAGCTTACGGAGGGAGATGAGGTTGGCCTTGAGGTCGGGGACGAGGAGAACGTCGTGCAGCACCACCGGCTTGCCATCCGCTCCCTTAAACACAGCTCGTCCCGCACCAGCCACCTTCAGCGCGTGTCCAGAGGCGGAGCACACCTCGTTAATCGGTGCAGCGCGTACGTCGTCCAGCAGGTCTTTGCGCGGCGTCATCGTCCAAGCAGCGCCCGTGTCCAACACCCAACAGTCCAAGGGGTGCAGCTCTGCTCCAACCTTGGCAGAGGCGTCTCCTTGCTCCCCCTTCTCTCCAATATGGAAGAACTTGCCCGTGGTGCGCTCTTTCTTCTTCTGCGCTCCAGCGTTGCTCTTCGGGTTGTTGTCGGACGAATCAGCGACCATGTTTGCGCCGTTTTTCTGGTTCCTTCGCGCGCCGCCATCCTGTTGACGATTCTGGGGGGTCCATCCATCGGGTTTCTTATAGCACAAAAACCAGGGGTGCCCCTCCTTCTCACAATACCAGCAACTCCCTTTCATTTTGCCACCAGCACCCGACTTGCCCCCACGTCCAGATTTCGCACCGCGACCCCAACCGGTACCTCCTTGTTGGTCGTTGGAGTCGTCGTCCTTCTTTGCACCGCGCCCAGCACCACCGAAGCCACGTCCTCTGCCACGTCGGTTCCCTTGCATCCCGTAGCCGCTGCTGCCGTCGTCTCCACCCCTCAGTTGGCGGCGACGGAAGTCCTCCTCCAGAATCTTCGTCCGCACCCACTCGAGCGTCCACAAGCTCTGGTTCTGCGGTAGGCTCAATCCGCTCGTGAATTGAAGCCACGATTCCGGCAGCAGCGAGAGCATCTTCAGGCACTTGGTCTGCTCCGTATAGGTGATTCCTGCGGTCGCCAACTTCGCGTAGAGGTCACGCATCTTGTCCAGAACTGGTTGCACCGGCTCTCCCTCGCTCAGGCGCAACACGGACAGCTCCCTCTCCATCATGAGTGTCGCGGCAACGGAGGTAGGAGCGTGCAGCTCCTTCAGCACAGTCCACGCCTTTGGACCGCAATCAACCTCCTGCAGCAGGTGCATGACGTGGTGACGTTGGTTCAGCTCCAAACTCTGCGACATCAAATAGTAGCCAGCCGAGGCGCGCTCGTCCCAATCTTCCTGCAGCGCGGGGTCACTCGGTCTAGGCTCTTCCCCAATCATTAGTTTCAGCAATCCAATCTGACGGAAGTAAAGCTGCATTTTCCAGGCCCAATCATCATAGCCCTCACCATTGAACTTCTCGACGGTGAAATTCTTCTGCAGCTCCTTGATCAGCGAGCTCTGGTTGGTTCGCGCTCCCCTTGGCGCCGAAACACCAGAATCTTGGCTGCCGCTACGATCTTGGGCTGAAGATTTACCAGCTCCCGCCGAGGTGTTGCCCGCCATAGCTACCTTTAACGAGGATCACTATAACGCAGCTCTGATACCAGCTTGTTGGTGTAAGGGCCCAATCAAGTCAAGCTATTAAAACTTAAATCAAACTTAAAACCTCTCTTCGGGGTCACCTCCAAGGGTCCCTGGGTGCCTGGTACAAGACCAGCCCCTATCCTCGGGTCCGAGTTTGTAGAGAGAGGAGTTTAGAATGCCTTAGCTAAAATAACAAGAGTACCTTGAACGTCGCGCAGCGTGCCGTGCAGATCGTCGATCGGATTAAGCTGAGAATTCGCTATAACGAAGCTCGCTCCAAGAGCTTTAAAACAAGTTGCCTCGCGAAAAGTTCTGCCATTGCGAAGTTATGGCTCGGACAGCGTTTGCCTAGCGTTGGAGTGCTAACATACTAGCGTTTCCAACGAGGAAGGAATTCGCTTGAATCAATTGACTATATTCAGGTACAAACAGAGAAGGAATATATAGTTCTAGCTAGCAAGGACCTTGGGAATCAACCTGGGAACAACCAGGGATGATCCCAAATAATTCCAAGCAACAGAACCAACCTGGCTGGACAAAATAGCAGGTGGTAGGTTGGTAAACAACCTCTGGTTCTGTTTTTCCAACCTGGGAAAACAACAACCAGGTTCAGGTTCTAAAAACAGAACCTGTTTTGTCTTTGCCCAACTAGCCAAATGCTAGTTCTGCTGGTTTCCCCAGTCCCTGTAGCATGCAGATACAGACAAACAAATTGTACCCCTATAGTGCCTGCCTTGCTACACTATAGTCAACCAAACAAAACAGTACAATTTCGAGTTGGATAGAACTGGATCTGCGCAATCAATTTAACCGAACCGCAAAGCTTCCATCTTGGGTTCCTTTGCGAGCTTGTCCTTTCTGCTTGCACTGTTCATAGCGCGTACAATGTTGTGCCGAAGCGCACATTGGGCGAGTCCCTGCAAATGCATCAAGCGAAAATTGCGAAAGCAAACAAACACACGAACATTCCATTCATACCCAAATGCATTCACACACGCATACTCGTACAAACAGACGGCAGGATGTCGTGCAATGTGCATTTGCACCCAACAGAAGCCTTTCGCTCTCTTCCCGGCTCTTCGCCTTGCACTGGCCCTGCTCCTCGTATCCGGCGCGCTTCTACCAGCCACGTCGCAGTGGGTCGGAAAATCCAGCGGTAGTCCGAAGAAGCGGGTGTCCCTCACGGTCCCCGCCCACGCGCAGCGCAGACAGTATCAGCAGCAGCGGCAGCAGCAGGGGCTGCCCGCCACCACCGTCGTTCGCGGCGGCCCGGGCGGCGCGACGATCCGTTCGGCCGTGGGCGTTCCCCTCGTCCGCTCCTCCGCCTCTAACGGCGGCGCCGACACGAGCGCCATGATCACGCCGGCCGGCAGCGTACCGATCAAGTACCACGGCGGGCCGGTGGTTGTGGGCACGCCGGCGGTGAGCGTGTACCTCATCTACTACGGCAGCTGGGGGACGGCATCAGGGCGAGACGTGATCGAGTCGTTCGTGGCGGCGCTGAGCAGCGACTCGGGCAGCCAGGGCAGCGGCGCGGACGCGACTGTGAAGGCGTGGTGGGCCATCAGCGCCGCCTACTTTTAGAAAGACGCTACTGGCGGCAAGAAGAACGTCAGCTCCCAGGTGAGAAGACACGTCAGCTCCCAGGTGAGAAGACACGTCAGCTCCCAGGTGAGAAGACACGTCAGCTCCCAGGCGAGAAGACACGGCTGGCTGCAGTTGGCGAAAGGGAAAGAATTGCTCAGAGTCACCCTACATTTTGTTGCTCTTGCTGCTCCCCGCCCGTTCAGCGGCTCCTCGTACTCATTGGTTCCTCCTTCCGCCGCCATTCGTGCTCATTCACGCAGGTGCGTCTGGCGGGGACTGTGAGCGACAACTATTCGCGCGGCAAGAAGCTGACAGACAACGACGTGCTCACCAGTATGTACTGCTCTCCACCACTCATTCTGCTTGCGCGCTCTGTGTGTGTGTGCTGCTTAATCTGACTCAACTTACATGAGCTGCTCGTTCCTTCCAGCTAGATATCACCTCTATCCCTTCACCTGCCCACGCGCCCCACAGTAATCACACTCGCTGTCTCACCCCTCCTTTCCGTCTTTCCCTGCCCGTGCCTCCCCCTCCCCCCTTGCTTCCCCCCCACGCAGTTGTGGCGGGCAAGGTGGGGGCGGGCAAGGCGTTGCCGCTGGACCCGCAGGGCATCTACGTGGTGCTCACCAGCGCTGACGCCACTCTGGGGGGCTTCTGCTCCGAGTACTGCAGGTGGCACACGCAGGACTCGGAGAACTCTCTCACCTCCCCTCTGCGCTACGCCTTTGTGGGCCACCACGGGCAGTGCCCCGACGCGTGCGGGGTAAAGAGCACGTCACCCAACGGCAAGACGGCCATCGACGCTACTATCTCCACGCTCGCGCATGAGCTGACTGAAGCTGCCACCGACCCGGACACGACCGCGGGGTGGTTTGACGACAACGACGAGGAGAATGCGGACAAGTGTGCGTGGGACTATGGCAGCACCAAGACTGGGTCGCTGCAGAACGGGCAGAGCTACGAGTACAACGTGGTGGGGCTGAACGGCATGAAGTTCCTCGTGCAGCTCAACTGGGACCGCGTCAACAGCAAGTGCGTCATGCAAAACGCCCTGCCTGCTGATGGCAGCGGTGGCGGGGGCTTTCCCTCCCCTCCTCCCCCACCACCTCCCCCCACTGGAGGCAGTGTGAAGATGAGGTGTGATTGCAACTGTGCGAGTGCCACCAACCCCATGAGCTGCCAGTGCTCCTGCACCAAAACAGGGTGAAGAGTGTGGAGGGGGGGATCACCTGTGCCTTGTGGTTGGGCGCCGCTGCACCAGGCTCATCAGAAACTCCCTGATGGCTGCTTGCCTCCAGTGATTAGCGGTAGACTGCTGCTCAAGTATTTATTTCTGATAATTGCCTTTCTTCCACGTCTTTTTCAGTTTCCCTTGTGTTTTATGTTCTCACATACCGGTATGGTTGGTTGCTAGGCATTGGTTGTGCAAGTGCGTACGAATACCATATCTACCCAGGATAGTAGACCCTTGAAATGAACACCCCGCCTAGCTTGGGTTATTTCCATATTGTCTCGCTGCCTTTATTGTGTTGTCAGTTCATACCGTACAATCAAGTCTTTGTTATCTTTTATTTAGGGCGAACTCCGTTTAACAACTAGTAACATTTCCATCATAACCGTTTCTTCGCACGCCTTCAGGGGTTACTCGTCGCACAAATCTCGTCAATAAATCTCCTTGGCGCTAGTCTTTTCCCAACCGATCTGGGTTGGACCTTGGATGCTTGACTCAACGGCAGCTTTGGAGAGGTGAGCTGGTAATACGAGTTCTGACGTTCATTTAGGAGGTCTCAAGTCCACCCAGTGACTCTTTGCTTTCCGCGTTTCAGCAGATCAGTTATAGCTACTAAGTGGTTCCTCCACGGAGTGCATTCAAATCGCGATTGTCGATTCCGTCCATTCGCTGCCTACAATTCTTGCTTCTGAAATTTTGGAGAGCTTTTCGCTGCAAGGGAAAAAGGCATAGAGTTTTGCTGTTCGCTAAGAGCGAGAGTCGGTGACGCGAGTTCATGACTTCGCGCTTCCTCCCTTCCTTTCTCGCTCGCCTCTCTCGGTTCGTCCTTTCCGTCAGGCCTTTGCCACTCGCATCGCAATAATACTTGCCCTTAGATCCGACCAAAGAAACTGTAGAAACACGCTTTTATATGTTTTTCGCATGATAATTCGTGCGGTAAAAGCTTGGTGTGACAGTTTGAACCTCTAGGTTTCGGGTCCAAAGGGTTTAAAGGTCAGGTTTTCGGGTTTCAGCTCCTCTTCGCATCTATAATCTTTCGTCGGACCTTACTTACTCCGTCCCTTCTGTCTGCTGCCTCGCAACCTTGATCGTCTGTATCACTCTCCATCTGCTGTAATTTCTCTTACTCTCTGAATTTCCTTCATTCTCAGCTCTCTCCTCTTTTTCCAAGGTTTAGGAGTTGGGTTTCCATCTCTTTCTTCTTCGTTTCAAATGTTTTTAGCCCATCTCACATCCTTCTTCTCCCCGCCATCCCCCTCCTTAACTCCCTCCAATCGCCCACTTCCGTCCCGTTCACCCTGCTCCTTCCCGTTCCCCCCACCCCTTCCCGTGTTTCCTTCCCTCTATTTCACACCAATGCTCATTTTATCCCCCACTCCACACCTTCCACATCCCCATCTCTCTTTCCACACCCGGCATTCTATCCACCGCAGGCAGACCATCTGCAAGGGGTATCCATCCCTTGCCAGCGCACCTTCAGCCGCAAGTCGCGGCGTGCACTTCTGCACGTCCATGGCCCCTGCCCCCGCGCCAGCCGCTAAAACCCTCACCCCCCCGCTCACCGTCCTAAAGCGCACTCTCTCCATGGACGCCGGACTCGCCAGCGGCGCCGCAAAGCCCGCCGTACAGTCCGGCCACGCGAAAAAGCCACGGGTGAGGACGATCGTGCGAGCAACAGGGGCGGGGCCTGCAGGGATGGGGACACCCGTTGCCGCCGCCGCCGCCGCCGGTATCGCCGGCGCTGGTACCGCCAGTGCTGCGGCTGCTGGGGTTGCCGTGCAGACGAGGCAAGGTACGCCCAGCGGTGGCGGCGCTGCTGCCGCGAGTGGCGGCGCTGGTGGCGGCGGTGGTGGCGAAGGTGGCCGCGGCGGTAAGAGGGGGAGGCGGAGGCCGCAGCAAACGAAGGCAGGGTTGAGGGAGGTGGCGCAGCCGCAACAGCAGCAGCAGCAGCAGCAGCAGCATCACCACCACCACCAGCACCAGCACCATCACCAGCAGCAGCAGCAGCAAGCAGCGGTAGTGCAGCCAATTCGCGAGGTGGATCTAGAGGCGATCAAATCCGTCATCACTGACGTCAGGTGAGCTCGCTCTGTGACTCGCGCTGCGTGCGTTGAGTCTAATTGTGCTGCTGCAAGGGGGGAGGGAGCGCAGGGCGAGGAGGAATGGGGTGTGTGGGAGCAGGAAGAGCGGGGCTTACGCAGAGAGTTGTCTGTCGGTTGTTGGGTCGGGTCTGGGTTGGTGAACGTGAAGCGTGCGTGCTTCCTGCCCTCTCGCTCCTTGAGCTACTCTTTAGTCTCCCCCTTTTTCCCGAATTCCCGGTGTTTTTTCCAGCAATCCGTACCCCCCTTTCCACGCCCCTCCCACATTATCCTCCCTCTCTCCTGCCTGACATTCTTTTCACACCAACTTCGTCGCTGCCCCAGTCCGTTCCCTTTGCCCTCCCGTCCACCTGATTCCACTCATACATAAACCTCTTCCCGCTCCACTTCTTTTCACTAAACCCCTCGCGCCCTTCCCCCCTATACCCTCCCGCCCCCTTCCGCACGCCCCACGTGTGTGCGCAGGTTCGACTCGTTCCCGCTGTCAGCGCAGATGCTGGCAGCAGTGCAGCAGGGTTTTGGGTTCCAGCTCTGCACCAAGGTGCAGGCGGAAACCATGCTGCCTGTCCTCAACGGTACGCCTCTTGCCGCTGCGCCCCTTCCCTGCGCCCCTTCCCTGCGCCCCTTCCCTGCGCCCCTTCCCTGCGCCCCTTGCCCCTGCGGTCTATTACCCTGCGCCCGTCCTGTTGCCATGCGTGTTGTCGTTTGTGATGCTAAAGATGCTGGGTAGTGTCCAAAGATGCGTTTGGTTGGACAATGCGCTCCCGCATGCCCACCCTCACTCTGCAGTGTATGTCTGCACACACACTCGGATTGCCTGAGTCTCCTTCTCTGCTCTCTCGCCCTCCTCCTCCCTTTCATTCACACGCAGACAGCTATGCACTGTTCACGCTCTCATACACCCCCCCTCCTCTCTCTATCTCCACCCTGCGTCCCCATCCCCCCCTCCCTTCCTCCCCTCGGCGCGTGCGTGTGTGTGCACGCTCCACCACCGGCTATCAGGCATGGATCTTTTGGCCAAGGCCAAGACAGGCAGCGGAAAGACCATCGCCTTTCTCGTCAGTTCCGCCCACTGCTCTCGCCCTGCCATCTCTCACCCCTCTCGCCCTCCCCTCCGCCCCGTCTCGCCATTCTCCCCCCCTGCTCTCTCCACCTTCACCCCCTCACCCCCCATCTACCCGCCCACCCACCTCCCTTCCACCCACCCACCCTCCCACTCCCCCTTTGAGGCTCACATTCCGATTCCCTCTGCCCCTCTGCCGTCTCTCTCCCTCACCAATTGTTGTTCATTTTCTTAGTCAACTCCTCTCCACCATCGCCTCCCCACGTCGTTCCACACACAATGCCAGTTCTCCGCGCGCCTACATTTGCCTCTTCATCCCCGCCCCTGCTTCTTTCCTTTTCCTTCCAATCCACTCTGTGAACCTGTCCCTCCGCCCCCTGTTCCTTCATGCCTTCTGTACTGTATGTACCCTCCTTTCGGCTATACCCTCATCTAAGCTTTACCTACGTTGCTTGTCAGATTATCTAAATGCCCCTCTTGCCCGAAACCCTTCCCTTATAAACCCCTCCAAACCCTCCTCAACCCTCCTCCCCCCTTCCCTTACCCCCCACCCCCATCCTCCCCCTTATCCCCGCCCTGCGCCCGCCCTCCCCACCCCCCAACTCCCCCAGGTGCCCACAATCGATAGGCTCCTGCGCGGGCCCCCCTCCCCGCGCCTCCCCCAGGGCGGAACAGCAGTGCGTGTGCTGGTGCTGGTGCCTGCGCGCGAGCTGGCGGCGCAGGTGGAGGCGGAGGCGCAGCAGCTGCTGCGCGGGCAGGGGGGCGTGGGCGTGCAGGTGGTGTTTGGTGGAACGAACATGGGGAAGGAGATCCGCAGGATGGAGAATTCCCCTTGCCAGGTGCGCGGGGAGGGAGAGTGGGGGGGGACGGGTAATGGGGGAAGGGGAAGGGGGAGAGAGGTAAGGGTTTGGTTGGATGGAAAAAGGGGTTGGGGGGGGGGGGGGGGGGGAGGGTGGGATTTGAGGGGGGTGTTGGGGTGGGAAGGGTGTAAAAAGGGGTGGGACTGGGACAGCCCTGCTTGTACTATGACGAGGTGCAGAGGCAAGGATTGGCGTGGGTGGTGCAGGGAAGGGGGAAGGGAAGACGAAGGATTGGCAGGGGGTGACAGCATAGGGGGCAAGGCAAGGGCGACGGTGCAGGAATGGGCGTTCTTTGTGGTGGATTGTGAGGAGGTGACTTTTGAGTCGACTCTAAAGCAGGAATGGGCGATCTTTGTGGTGGATTGTGAGGAGGGGGGCGTGGCTAGGGCTGCTCTGATTGCTTGGGAAGGACTTTACGCACCACCTGTTTTCCTGCTAAGCTTCTCCATTCTTTATCACCTCAACTCCCCTCCCGTCCCTCTCCTTCCTTTCCTTCTCTCCCCTCCTCCCAACCCCCTTCCATGCTTTTCCTGCCCCTTCCCTCTGTCCCTGTTCCCCCCCCTCGACTCTCTCCCCCTCGCCTCGCCTCGCCCGGGCAACCCTGGCCCCCCCCTACCCCCCCCCCCCCTCGCCCCCCTCTCCCCCTCGCCCCCCTCTCCCCCTCGCCCCCCTCTCCCCCTCTCCCCCTCTCCCCCCTCCCCCCCTTTCCCCTTCCCCTCTCTCCCCTCTCGCGCCCCTTCCCCCTTCCCGCCCTTCCCCTCCCTCCCCCCCCGGCAGGTGCTGATAGCGACGCCAGGGCGGCTGTTGGACCATCTGAAGAACACGCCCGGCATGCAAGCGCGCATTCAAGACCTGCAGGTCAGTGCCTGCGCTCTGCCCTTTGCGCTCTGCCCTCTGCCGTTTGCCCTCTGCCCTGCCACGTACGCCCGCGAGGAGGGATGAAAGGGAGGAAGGGCGGAGGGACGAGAGTAGGGGCAAGGGCACGGGGCGTGACGTGGGATTACAGCTGTTCATGGAGGGATGATGGGGGGTGCTTCTGTGATGGAGAGAGGGGGGTGGGTATAGGAGGCGGGTGAGGGAGGGTTGTGGTGAGTGGCTTTATTTTATGGGGGAGGTGAGGGAGGCAAGGAAGGTTGTGACTCTGTAGTTCCCTGCTCGTGTCTCCGCTTCTTGGTCCGTCTGCTGCTCCGCTTCATGAACTCTCATTCCCTCTCCCTATCTCCACCACCCACGAATACTCCCTCACTTCGTCCTTCCTCCCCCCCTTCGTTTCTCATCTTCGTCGTGCATGATTCTACTCCTGCCCCTTTTATCTCCTGTCAGCCCATATCCTCCGCACAATCTCCCTCCTCCCTTATCTTCCGTTCTTCCCCCCTCCCCCTTCTCGCTCTCTTCCCCCCTCCCCTCCCTCCCGCTGTCTGCACCTCCCCTCATTGCCCCCCTCCGTCCCCCACCCACCCTCTCTCTCTCTCTCACTACCTCCAGGTGTTAGTGCTGGACGAGGCAGACCGCATGTTGGACATGGGCTTTGCAAAAGACCTGCAGGCCATCATGGCTTACTTGCCCGCCGCCCGCCAGACGCTGCTCTTCTCCGCCACCATGCCCTCCCAGGTGAGCCGCTCAGGGGGGAAGGTGGGGGGAGAAGGCAGGGGAGGGGCGGAAACGGGGGAGAAGGTGGGGGCGGAGGGAGAGAGGGGGAGAAAGGGGGGAATGGAGAGGTATGGGCGGAGACCATAGGGGGATAAGGCTGCGGGCGCGGGCAAATGGCGGCGGTTTGAGAGGAGAAAAGTAGAGTGGGAGGGAAAGCACTGCGGGCAGGTTTGTTCCCCCCTGGGAAAAATAGCACGCGCGGGGTTTTGGGGCACGGGGTGCACACGAGCTTTTTTATTGATCTCTGTAGACTCGACCTTACTTGGAGCGTGTTCCTTCCACCACCAAACTTGATTGTATGGAAATGCGATTGTGCATGCATGCGATTGTGTGTGCATGATGTGATCGTGTGTGCACATGATTATGCGTGCGTGTGTGTGCATGTGGCATCAGGTGCAAGAGATGTCGAAGCAGGTGCTGCGGCGGGACTTCAAGCACGTGGACGTGGTGGGAGAGGAGGATGCTGATACCAACATCCAGGTCTGTCGCCCTCTTTCACTCCCTTCTCACACTCTCACACACCCACACCCACACACCCACGCTCACACACACATCACACACTCTTCTCCTCGTTCCAACCTGCCCTCTGTGTCCACCTCACGCCTGCCTTGTCACACCAACCCATTCCCCCTCTCACGCCAGCCCACTTCTCGCTTGTGGCTACATCTTTTTATCCCTTCTTCCCCCCTCCTGTGTGCACGTGCATGCGTATGTGCGTGCGTGCGTTGGTGTGCACATGCATGTGTGTATCTCTCTCTCTCTCCCTCTCTCCTTGCACTGTACAGGTGCGCCAGGAGCACCTGGTGGTGCCTTTGGAGGAGCAGCTCACAGCCATGTACACGCTGCTGCTGCAGCACTGCCAGGAGCAGCCTGACTACAAGGTACGTGCGTGTTTGCCTCGTTTTCTGCAAGCTAGGGTTCATTCTTTCCAAGCTGCCGCTGGTTGCAAGGTCTCTTTCTGCCGATGTCGCATGGATGTGGGTCTGGGGTGATGGATGCAAGCAGTCTTGACTAGCAGTCCAGGTGCGTGCGTGCGTGCGTGCATGTGTACACGCTATGTTGCTCGTGGCACCAAGTATCGTTTGCTATCGTGCATAATAGTTGTCAAACTTGGGCCTAACCGATGAACAGAAAGCTGAACTGGACTCCAAAACGGAGCCTTAGTTCAGGGCCTTCGTTGCCAAGGAAAATTTCCTGCTTAAGATGGGTCGGTGGGTGTCGCGATTCATGGGGTCCGCTGGGGCAATGCAAGGCAAGAATGGGTAGCGAAACTTTGGAAGGGGGGTGGGGGTTGTGTAACGTGGTACTTTTTCTATTGAAAAAAAGTAGCTTATGCTTATGATGAAACTGTGATTAAAAAACTTCGGCTTGATGCCATAACCTGTGTGGCTCCTAAAGCGTTGGTCATGGCATTAGGCCTAAGATATTCAGTCACATCTGCATCATAAGCATGAGCTCTTCATCTTCAGTGGGAAAAGTACCCCGGTACACAAATCCCCCCCCCCCCCCGTTCAAAGTTTTGCTACACATTCCAGCCTTGCTGACGCCCATGAACTGCGACGCCTTCCGACCCATCTTAAAGCTCTAGGCCCAAATTGCGGAGTGCGCAGAGCAAGATTACTAATGTTGACGGAGTCCTGTTTTGAGTGCTGGTCGGGTTGCGAAGAGGGTTACTAGAAGTGCGATGCAATTTGATTGGCCATAATGTTTTTGTCGAATGGTGGAGCATGAAACACCAAGAATATTGTTTGTGCAATTTGGGACTCGACAACCAAACCCCAGTCGCTCCCTGGGGTTTGCTGAGTCGGCGAAAACCCTGAGGACGTAGCGCGAAGCTGTGCAAAAGCAAACATCCCAACTCCCAACAAGTCAACTTTCTTCTCCCTCTACATGTCTGCTCGTATCTTCTTCTATCAAAGCTCTAGCATGCGCACTCATTGATCTTTGGTCTCTGCCATCCGCACCGGACATGGCTACCCACTCGCATAATGAGAGCAGCACATGGTCACACGACCACATACCCATCCCCTCCCCTCCCCTCCCCTCCCCTCCCCTCCTCTTACCTTCCCGTTCCCCTTCCCCTCCTCTCCCTCCCCATCAGGTGCTGGTGTTCTCAGTGACAGCAAAGATGACAGCATTCTACGCAGCGCTCTTTGCATCGCTCCTCCCCGGCGCCACAGTCCTCGAGATCCACTCGCGCAAGTCGCAGGCGCACCGCACGCGCGTGTCGGGGGAGTTCCGCGCCGCCAAGGGAAAGGTCGTGATGTTCACCAGTGACGTGTCTGCTCGCGGGGTCGACTACCCGGATGTCTCCTTGGTGCTGCAGGTGCGTGTGCATGGGGGTGTGCGGGTTGGTGGGTTCCTGGTCTTGCCCTGGAGCGCACCCTTCCAGTTCCGTGCCGCCAAGGGGAAGGTCGTGATGTTCACCAGTGACGTGTCCGCTCGCGGGGTCGACTACCCTGATGTCACCCTTGTGTTGCAGGTGTGTGTGCGTGGGGGTGTGCGGGTTGGTGGTGGGGTTGTGGGTTGGTGGGTGGTGGTGGGGCGCTGGGCAATGTTAACGGATGCATGCTGGAGCGGGGGGGGGGGGGGAGGGGGGGGTGGGAAGAGGGAGGGGGGGGGTATTGCGTACATACACCCGCAAATATATGAATTAAGCAATGCGGTTGGAAAGTGTTTGAAAACGCTCAGGCAGCCCATTGTAAAAAAAAAAAAAGCAAACAAACAAACAAAAACAAAAACATTGGAAATATATTGTCACAACCTGCGACGTCGCGAATTATTACCTCGGCCTCGCACTGCACCCAACCTAACACTGTATTGGAAATCGAATCTCATACTGCAACCGTTAGACCGAGCACAGTACATTCACCGTGTGGCAGGCAGATGCCCCACCTCTTTCTCACCCCCGCCCCCCCCCATTCGCCTTAATTATCCCCCCTTTTCCCTTCCCCCTTCTCCCCTCTCCTCGCTCCAGGTGGGTCTGGGGACCGAGCACGGTACATCCATCGCCTGGGGCGCACTGCACTGCCACAAAAACACAACCCACGCCCATCCCCTTGCTTTCCCAACCCCCATCCCCTTGCTTTCCCAACCCCCATCCCCTTGCTTTCCCAACCCCCATCCCCTTGCTTTCCCACCCCCCCTCAACCCATCCCTCGCCTCTCCCCAGGTGGGTCTGCCCGCGGACCGAGCACAGTACATCCATCGCCTGGGGCGCACGGGCAGGGCGGGCAAGGAGGGGGGGGGCGTGCTGCTGCTGTCACCGTGGGAGAGGCCCTTCCTGCCCAAGCTAGCAGGGCTGCCCATCACACCGCACACGCCGCTGGACCGCCTGAGTGTAGAGAATGAGCACAAGGTGCGGTGCAGGGGCGAGTGGTGAGTGTGTGGGGCGCCTGGTGCGTTACTGTGTTGGGTGTTACTATGTGAGATGAGAGGGTGGAGCGAACTGAGCATGTGCAAGTGGGGTGCCTCTGCTTGTACCGTGTGTCTTAGGCTAGCTTCTGTGCCTGCATGCTGCACCCGATGAGCACACACGAAGGAGCCTTTTCTGTTCCAGTACAGGGATTCTTCGTACTGCTCTCGTCCCTTGCCCCTGCTCTCCACCCCACCCCTCCCAGCCCCGCTCCTCTGTCCATCCTCTCACTTCCCCAATGCACATTTTCCCCTCCATTCACCTCCCTCTCTCTCCCTCTCTCCCTCGCTCCTCCCGTCAGCTGAGCCAAGCCCTCTCCAGAGTGGAGACCCAAGTCAAGGAGCAGGCATACGTGGCCTTCCTAGGCTACTACAACTCAAACCTCCGGCTGCTCAAGTGGACGCCCCAGGTGCTGGTGGCTACTGGGAACGAGTTTGCAGAACTCATGGGGTGCCCTGAGCAACCGGCTATTGAACCCAGGCTGCTGGGCAAGATGGGGCTGAGGAAGGTGGCGGGCATTCGAGAGGCGGGTCGAGATGAGATTAAAGGATACCAGCAACCGCACCAGAAGCAGGAGACGGTGAAGGGTCGAGGGGGGAGGAGGTGGTGATGGGAGTTGTGTTGACACATGGTTGGTGGGAGGATGAAGGGAGTGCGAGTGGGTGGGGATAAGTGGGTGCTCTGTCCTCTTGTTCTTTCATTCATTAAAGGGCTTTTGCATTACTTCACTACCAGTATTCAAGTACAGTGTACCAACGCTATAAAATATGATAGTGATAATCCCATTTGTTTTTGTAGCTGAGTAACATGTGATAATTTTCCTAGTTCTTGTTTTTTTACACGTAATAACTATTCGATTTGTGCTTTGATGACTCGTCTTTTTACCGGTGCGACTCAAAACAACGAATGAATTGATAAACCATAGAGTTGCGAGGGGTTCTGTAGTGTACCTCGTGATTCAGGGTTCGGGGTTCAAAGACACGCATCTGTACCATCCATCACCGATCCGGATCCCGCGCTTCGTGCAGTCAACTACAGTACAGTCTCGCTCAGCCCTTTCAAACTTGCACCACACGTATTGCCTTGCCTTCCCTGCCGACGAGGCGGCATCCTGTGATTTGGCCGGAAGGGACTTGTAGAATTGTTATGCCGTTGCCTGCGTGTAGGAGCCCAGAAAGGCGGTTTGGGAATAAATTGGCGCCGGAAAATTGTAATGTCGTGGCCTGCGTGTAGGAGCCCAGGAAGGCGGTTTGCGAATAAATTTGCGCCTCCCGCAGATTCTCGATATTGCGCGCTACGACTCGGCGTCACCGCCTGGTATCTGTAAGCAGTGCGGACGGCGTCAAAGCAACCACAGGTTACCCACACCTTCCCGCACCACACTCCCAGAAGAGTAATTTCTTCCGATTCGCCTCGGCAATGGCGCGAGAGAGGAGCGGCGCCGCGCCTAGACACGTGGCGTCGAGTGGATGCCGCGGCAGCGGCGGCGGAAATCGCGCTGGCTGCAGCGGCGTCGGTCGCGGAATTCCTAAGGGCCGCGCGGACAGGCGGCGGCCAAATATCGCGCTTCAGGGCGCAACACTCCGCGCAAGTGCCGGGCGAGTGCGCGCGGGAGCTGAATCCTCCGCCGCAGAAGGCCACCGTGCCAGCGCCGGTCGCAAACAGTGTCAGTGGCGGGGAGGCGGCGGCGCAGCGGCAAGCGCGGAGAATGATGGCGACGACGCTGATGTCGCTGATAGTGGTAACCACACTCGTGGCGGGTTGCTGCTGGCGCAGATTGCTGCCGCGGCGCGAATGAAGCGAGCTGCGCAGGAGGCGGCGGCAGCGCGGCGCGTGGCAGGTGAGCAACGCGGGACAGCGGATGGGGAGGGCAAAGGGGCGAGGGGGAGCGCTGCAGGCATGGCGGGGCGGAGGCGGGGCGGTGACAAGGCTGGGAAGACGCGGAGAGGTGACGGGGCAGGTGATGGTGGAGAGCGGTGGGATGCGGTGAACGTGCAGAAGAGGATTCTTGTGAAGGAGGTGCAGGGAGAGGGCTGTGATGAGGGCCAGGCACAACAGCGCACAGCAGCACAGTCGAGAGCAGCAGCAGGGGGGGTGAGCACGGATGGAACGGACGAGCAATCAAACAAGACGCAGGCAGAGGAAGCAGCAGTGTTCCCCACAGTGGCACTGCTGATGCTGGTGCCTCTGCTGGGGACAGGGGAAGACGTGGCACGCGCCATGTGCGTCAACAGGGAGTGGCGCCATGTGCTTACACATGCCGTCCGCTCCTTCTCCCTCCTCTTCGACCCCCACTCCCTCTCCTGGCGCTGCTCCTTCCGCCACCCCTCCGCCCTCCCCTCCGCCCGCCTCTGCAATCCCGCAACCGTCCAGCTCCCCCTGCTGGACCCCGCGCCCCTCCCCCCGCCCTCCCTCCGCCTGTGCGCCAGCCAGGGGTGTGGCAGCTGCACCAGTGGCAGCACTGTGTGGTGTACAAGGGGAGGGGAGCGAGGGGGGTGGGGGGAACGGGCGGAAGGAGGAGGCAATGCGAGCAGCAGCAGCAGCAGCGAGTGTGGGAGCGGATGGGGGAAGGTGCTGACCTCGGTGATACAGCAGAGCGACATGCCCTTCCCATGCACGTCGCTACTGACACCAGGCAACTCTGTGACGAGCTGGAAGCACGCTCTCTCACGCTACCCCAACCTCACCTCGCTGCACCTACCGCTGCTCTCCTCCCCCCCCCTGTCCACCTTGACCCACGGCCACTATGACAGCCGCTACCCCCTCCCCTGGGACGTGCTCGTGTCGCCGGCTCACCTGAGCAGCCTGCTGTGCAGCCTGGGGCAGCTGCAGTGCAGCGCCACGCTGCGCTGCGTGCGCGTGGAGGTCACTCTGGACTGGCACTCGCAGCACCTCGTGCGCACCACCACCACCAGCAGCAGCAGCAGCAGCAGCAGCAGCAGCTCTCCGCACGGTGTGCACCGCCCCCCCAGGCGGCACCACCTGCTGAGCCACCACGGGGAGCCCGCATACCCTCGCCACTTCCACAGCCGCATGCACAAGCACACACTCGCCCTGGAGCAGAGAGAAGTTGAGAAGGCCGTGCAGGGGCTGCTGCGCGCCTGCCCCAACCTGCGAGCGCTGCACCTGCACGGCCCAGATCTTTCCTGCCTCCTCTCCCTCTCCCCCTCCACCTTCGCTTCCTTCTCCCACCTCACTCACCTCTCTCTCCCGCTCCCAGGCTCCATTCCCACTCCCATTCTCCATCTCTCCCGCCTCGCCTCGCTCTCCCTCTCGCTCTGCCTCGAGTGCCCTGCTGCTCTCGCCACCTTCCACCGCCAGATGCTCTCCCCTGGTCTCTTCCGCCACCTCTCCTGCCTCTCCTCCCTCTCTCTGCTCACCCTCCGCTCGCCCCGTACCGCATTGACCACCAGCAGCAGCAGCAGCAGCAGCAGCGTTAACGTGGCACCAAGCCTCTTCGATGGCTTGCAAGCCTCCCTCTGCTCGCTCACGCTGCTGATCCATATCGCCAACGTGCACGCCCCGAAGGACTCGTCTCTCACCTCCCTCTGGACCCTCTCCCTCCTCACGCACCTCAACACCGATCTCCACACCAATCTCACCACCGATTTCAACGCGCCCCTCTCCGCCCCTCCCCCTTCCATGTCCTCCTCCGCTCCACTCACTCCCACCTCTCACCTCTTCCTACCACACCCACCTACCCTCGACCCTCCCTCTCCCATGCCGCATCTTGGCCTCGCATCCCTCTCGCACCTCACCTCCCTCGCCCTCACCTCTCTCACCCACGTTCCCACATCCCTCTCCCTTCTTTCCTCCCTCTCCCGCCTTGAGCTGCCCCGAGCCACAGAAGACCCTCACGGGGCCATCCGTATGCTGCCCCGTCTGACTCACCTGGACTGCAGTCTGCAGCAGCTGCACCACCTCTTGGACTTGGGTCCCTCGCCCTCCTGCCGCCCCTGCTCGTGTGGGATTCGTGTGCGCTGTGACTGCTGCGACTGCCAGCAGCAGCAGCAGCGGCGGCGGCGGCGGCGGTGGCAGCGGCAGCGGCAGCATGAGGAGCGAGTGCCACAGCAGCAGGGGGAGCGAGGAGAGCAGTGATGGGAGCGGCAGCAGCGGCAACGGGGCAGCAGGAGAAAGCACTCATCCTCCTCCCTTCCGCCACTGCTCCTGCTTGCACCCGTCGCAAGCACCACACCATCCCACCCGCGGTCTCACCTCCCTGGTGCTGCGCGCAAACCCGCAACTCCCTACCACCCACGTGCACACCCACTCCTACCCCTCCCTGCTCCATTTAGAGCTACACGACATCACCGCCTGCCACTGGCGCTGGTGCAACAACAGTGCCGTACCACCCGCCTTCTCGCTCTTCCCGAACCTGCACACACTTATCTGCAACCCCCCTCCCGATGGCTCGTATACAAACCACTCTGTGAACTTGGACCTTGCCCTCCTCCCCTCCCTCACCCGCATCTCTGGGGCGTTTCGGCTGTGCCGTGGTGACCAAGTGCTCTATCCGTCTCTCCATGCCCTCATGCTCAACCGTGGAAAGCTGGCCCCTTGTGTCTGGGAGCAACTGCTGCAGCTTAAATCACTGTGCACGCTCATTCTCTCGCACTCGTTTCTCCTTTTAGACTCACCAGGCGCGTAATTCTGGCATGAAGGCGTACCCCCGCCCTTGCACCTTCTCACAGCCCTGCACACGCTCCAGATGCCCCTGCGCTGCAATAAACAGCAGAGGAATCTGCCACTGCTCACATTGAACTGGCCTCCGCACGTGCCTGCGCCTGTGCGACTCCCCTCTCACTCATCTTCCCCCCACTGTGCTCGGGTGCTTCGAATTGGAGGAGTTGCATTTGATTGGCTGGCCGCATTTGAGTGAGCTGCCAGCAGGGTTGGCGGGGTTGAAGAGGCTAAGGGAGGTGAGGGTGAGCGGGTGTGAGGAGGAGCCCACTGTGCCAGTGGAGCTGCTGCCTCTGCTTCGAAGGAAGCGTTGGCACTTCCCCTTCACCCAATCCATGGCTTGTGAACGATGAGGTGCCGACTGCCGTGGCCAACTCTCAATGTACCTTCCAGTGTTGCTGTTTGGCCTGCATGCATGCAGCCGTAGCTCCGGCGGTAGTAGCACCAGCAGCAGTGGTTCGCCCTCCTCTTCCTCCTCTTCCTCCTCTTCCTCCTCTTCCTCCTCTTCCTCCTCTTCCTCCTCTTCCTCCTCTTCCTCCTCTTCCTCCTCTTCCTCCTCTTCCTCCTCTTCCTCCTTCCGCTCTCCCTCCCCCAGTGTTATCTACCACTACTGGACCAGCACGTCATCTCCTGACACGCACCCCTACCCTCTCCTCTTCAGCCTCCACTGCCTCTCTGCCGCTTGGGCTGCTGCTCTTGCTGCTGCCCTGCACTTCCCAACCTCCCACCACTCGGGCATCTCGGGCATGAGCAAGTTTTTCCTGTCCGAGGTCCTGTGGCAGGTGCCCCGGGCGGTATTTCTAGACGTCGATATGATTCTGACTACAGACGTGCAGGAGCTTTGGGTGCGGTGGATGAGATTCAAGGGGATGGAGAGGTGCTGTTCTGAATAGGGAATGAATAACCACCCAGAGGGGGGCAGCATTAGGCGGCTGAGGGACCCATACTGCAGCTGCCAGGCCGCCAGCTTGTCATGGCCTGGGAGAGAATGCGGCAGGCCTATATGAGCAGGGTGAGTGGGACACGGGGTAGGGGGGAACGGGGTGATGGGCATGAGAGGATATGGAAGGGGTGATGGGCGGCAAAAGAGGTTTGCTGGTGGAGCCGAAGAGGGGAAGTTGGTGGGATGGGGGGAGGATGAGGATGGGCTCATGGGACAGGGTAATCACTTGGAGCGTGGAGGCTTAATGTGATGAAATCGCAGTACTGGGTTGATGTGTCCACCAATGGCCTGTCTACAGGGTTTCAGGCGATGGCAGTGAGGGAAGAGCTTCAGATTCTCCAGTGTTGTTGAGTACCACCTCCTCTCTCCCTTGTCATTCACCTCATCAACCCAGCATTCTCACCTCGCCCATATATTTTCCAAGCTCTTTATAAGTATCCCACCTTCCCCACCTCCACACCAGCTCTTCCTGGAAGCACTGAGTGGCAGCAAGCCAGCAGACTGGCGGGACTTTCTTTGACGGGGACCAGTTCCTCTTCATGCGCATCTGCAAGAACAGCCCCCGCCGCTGCGGCATCCTTCCCCGCCTCTGGAACGTCTCGGGGTGCACCAATCCCCTGCACTTCTTGGGGCTTGGTGTGCGGGGAAAGGAGGAGAATGGAAGCTGCTGGCATATAGTGCATTTTCATTTGTATGTGGTATGGCAAGCAAGGGCCGGAGGGGAGGGAAGATTGTGGCTGACAAGTGGAAAGAGGCAGTAGATTGGAGCCAAGGACTGAGTTTAGAGGATCGTAGAAGGAAGTGATGGGGGTAGGCGTGAAGTGGTGTTGCGTTGCATGGCCTGGCAGATATGGGAAGTACCGTATGGCCCCGGATATAAGCGCCGTCCGATTAAAGGCGCCGGCGCTTCTATCTGGAGCATGGCGCTTATAGAGGATCCTCGATTAGAAGCGCACCCCTTTTCAGGTCTGAACTTATTATAAGCGCATGTGCAAAGTCTGTTATCTACTTATCATTCTAATTTCACAGAACATTACATTTTTTAAACAATTCCTAACAAGAGTTGTTTCACCCTATCAATTTCAAGGTTCATACACAACAGCCTACTCAGGTTGAACCAGCTACTCAAGTCCGACTACAGCCTAGCTACCTACTCCTCCTCGTCAGACTCGGGCTCCTGGCAGTTGTTGCCAAAGAAGCCGTCAGCGATGATGTCGTCATCGACATCGACTTCACGAGTCAGCTGGCTTCGCCTGTGCGCCATGGCAAGCGAGTCCTCGCTGCCGTCAAGAGCGTTGCTGATGCCACAGGTGAGGAAGGCGCGCTTGATGAGGTCCGCGGGCACTGCCTTCCATGCCCGCGAGATCCACTTCACTACCACCGCAGGAGGCGGCTTCTTGAGGTTCCCTGCACCAACAGGCAGAGACACATCACTCTCGTCAGTTTTAATAAACGGTTCACGAGAGCATGTCAAGGAACGACTGTAGTTCTTCTATGTAAGCTTACCTGCTGCTGTCAGTCGCTCTTGGCCTTCGTCTTCAAACCACTTCTGGTACTGCTGGCGGACGGAGGCCTTGAACGACTTGTTGATAGAGACGTCCAGCGGCTGAATCTCCGCCGTACAGCCTGCCGGGATCACCGCCGGCACGATGTTGAGCTCGGCGAACTTGTCCTTGACCCCTTGGGTGAGGTGACCGCGGTAGGAGTCGAGGACCACCATCGCGCTCCTCGCCTGCCTGCCGAATCGAGGCCTAAGAAACGGTTGGACGCACTCCTCCAGCCATCGGATGACGCCTTCGGCGTCCATCCACCCGTTCTCGTGGCAGGCGACGACGACATCTGCACAATGATACACGGGCAGGGTGGTTAGCGACGATTTAGTAAAGCAACGAATCAACCCATTTAAAGTGCAATTTCTTACCGGGCGGGAAATCTCCCTTCGGCACTGTCTTGCGCTTGAAAAAAACCCACGGTTTGAGTTTCTCCCCATCCGCCGTGCACGCCAGCATCACGGTGACGCGCTCCTTCTGGTATCCCGCACTCCGGATGGGCACCGACCGCACGCCTGTCTGTTCCACGGTGGTGGTGGCGGGCATCTCCAGCCACAGCGGCGTCTGGTCGGCGTTGATGATCCACGTAGTCTCGATGCCGCGCTCACGCCGCCTATCACGCACGTACTGCCAAAACTTGCGGCACATCTCCGCGACATCTGTAAAAAAACGAGGCAAATAAAGAGGGTGCGTCAGTATACATGAACTGGAACGACCCACAGGCTTGATACACGGTTAAGACTTACGGGCTGCAGTTTTCTGGGCGACGCGCGTCTTCATGCGGACGCTCAGATTCCACCGCTTCCGAAACCGTTCCGACCACCGCTGGCTGCCCTTCCACTTCACAAGCGGGTAGAGCAGCTTCATGAACTCGTGCGACCACTCCTGCAGACGGCCGACGGAGACTGCTGTTCCCTTGCGGCGCCACTCCAGTAGCTTTTCGTACACCTTCAGCTCCATCGGGCGGTACCATGAAGACCTCCCGCGGCCGTGCATGCGCTTCCGTGCGGCGTGCACCTCCTTGAGGAAATCGGCGGCGCGCTTCCACTCCGTGAGACACTTCCGGTGGATGCCGCTTTCTCGAGACAAGGAGCGCACCGACACCCCCACATCCAGCCGCGCGACCCACTGCAGTTTTTCTTGCGCAGTATAAGCTTGACGCTTATGCTGGTTGACTTTGTTCCTGGGAGAGGGGGGGCGGGCATCACGATTCTCAGCAGAAGGGTGAGGTCGCTTGCGGTTAACAGGAGGGAAAGTCGGAATCGGGAGTTTCTCAGGGAGCCCATCGCGAGACCAGTATTCGACGCCGTCGTCGTCGGCGGCGCCTGGTTCACCCTCGGGAAACACATCGGCCGCGGTGCCAGCCTCGGTTTCGGCCTCCGTGCCATCCTCGGCACCGTTGTCGCCCTCGGCACGACCTTCTTCCGCGGCGTCAGCCACATCGTCGTCGGCGCCGACGGCAGATTCGTCCCACGTGCATTCTTCGGGCGCGCCCCATCTTGGTGCAGGTGCCGGAGCCCGTACATACACGTCTGGACCCTTGTTATTGTCCGGTTCAGAATGGTACTCGTCGAAGGCGGACGGGAGCAAGAGCGTAAGCACGGGATGATTCCCAGGCGGTTGTGGGAACGCCTGATACGGAGGAGCAGGAGGAGCGGGAGGAGCGGGAGGAGCAGGTGGCGCAGGAGGAGCAGGTGGCGCAGGAGGAGCAGGAGGCTGTGGTGGCGATGGTGGTTCTGGTGGGATACGTGTGTACCATCCGTCAGCGTCAACTGTGTAAGCGGGCCTAGGTTTTTTCTTGAAAAGGAAATGAGTGCCTGTGAATTCCGCCATGGCTTCCGCAGCCAGGCGGGCGTGAACAAGAAAGTGAATGGGAAACGCAAAGCATGAATGAAGAAATGAACGATTGAAGAGGACCCCTTCAGGAAAGCGCCTCGGGGTCCTCATCAATGAAAGACGAAAATCACCCTGCCTGAACCCGCAGAGGAGGGTTCATGGCACCAGACGTGCTGTGCTGGCAGGGCATATTCCACACCCTTCGAGAGGGTTCGGATGAGTTGTCCTTGTCAGAATGTTATGTTTGTCTAGCCTGCAGTGGGGTACTCTGTAGCGAGTACAGCCCATTAGGGTTTCCTATTTGTATCCTGCTGTTGCTAGTTCAAACCTCCTTCCTTCTTCAATTCTCTTTCAGAAACCTTAAGCCCTAGCAACTGGCCTCTAAGCCTACGGCTCCTAAGCCTTCTGCTCTCTGACTACTTAGTATCTTAACATGGTATTAGAGCTACTTAGCTCCTGGCCTGTAGGCCCGTATGCTTCCGCTGCTGCTGTACTGCCTGTCGCGCGCCCCGTGGCGCGTGACATTGTTTTTTTCTTCCCGCCGCGCGCTCCAAGCGCGCGGCGGTTTTCTGCCCGCCACGCGCTCGGGGCGCGTGGCGGTTTCCTGCCCGCCGCGTGCCCCAGACGCGCGCGGCGGTTTCGTCACCCGTCGCGGCGCTCCTGGGGGCCTGCGCGCCGTCCCCCCCCCCCCCTTCCCGTCGCCTGTCGCGACGCCCTGGGGGCCCGCGCGCCGCCCTGCCCGTCGCACGTCGCGGCACCCCAGGGGCCCGCGCGCCGTTCCTCCCCTTCCCGTCGCCTGTCGCGGTGCCCTGGGGGCCAACGCGCAGCCCCCCTTCCGTCGCCCGTCGTGGCGCCCTGGGGGCCGCGCGTCAGCCCCTCCCGTCGCCCGTCGCGGTGCCCTGGGGGCCCGCGCGCAGCCCCCTCCCCTCGCCCGTCGTGGCGCCCTGGGGGGTCGCGCGTTAGCCCCTCCCGACGCCCGCCGAAACGCCCTGAGGAGCCGCCCTCTCTCGAGCTGCTGCCCGCGCACCGGCCCCCCGCTGCTGCCTGTGTTAGGGTTTGGGGGTGGCGAATGTGGGGGTGGCGAGTATGGGTGTGATGGGTGTGTGCGCCGTCCCCTGCTCCTCCTCCTCCTCCGTCTCCCACTGCTGCAGCTGCCGCTGAGGGGGGTGGATGTGTGGGAGCCGTCGGCGTAGTACTAAGGGGGTGGCGTGTGAGCAGTAAAACTAGGGGTGCGGCAAGGGGGTGTGTGAGAAGGGGGTGTGGGACTGTTAGGGGAGGTTGAGCGGAGGTCGCCGTCGTGTCGTCAGCAGCGCCAGTAGTCCGGAGCCCTCGTGCTCTCGGTAGCCCAGCGAGCCTGCTTCGCCAGTCGCCTGTGGGTCCGTTGCTCCTGTGTGTGCTCGTCGTAGCCGCAGAGCCAGATACTCCCGTAGTCCGGTGCCCTCGTGCGCTCGGTAGCCACTGTGTGTGCCGCTCCTGTTGCCCGTGTGTCTGCAGCTTCAGCCGTCGCCTCCCATCTTCTCGCCCCCACAGTCTCTCCTCCTCCTCACTTGCCCTCTGTGATAGCCTCTAGCTTTGTTTATCATTGTGAACTGTTGTCCTGCCTGCTTATTGTGCTGATTACACCCCACTTTGGCTATGGGGGTGTGTCAGAATGTTATGTTTGTCTAGCCTGCAGTGGGAACCTCTGTAGCGAGTACAGCCCATTAGGGTTTCCTATTTGTATCCTGCTGTTGCTAGTTCAAACCTCCTTCCTTCTTCAATTCTCTTTCAGAAACCCTAAGCCCTAGCTACTGGCCTCTAAGCCTATGGCTCCTAAGCCTTCTGCTCTCTGACTGCTTAGTATCTTAACAGTCCTGCCTGGCCGCGCATGACAACCCGATTGGGCCGCACGACAGCTTTTGTGTCAGCGCTGGCAGGTGCGCTGCACTGGGACGTGAAGTGTGCGGTGGGGAATCGAATCGCGGCGAATAGCGCGAGGATTCCATGCATGACCCCACGTGAACGGCACATCGTTGTGTTCGCCTTATTGCAAGCTTCATTTTGGTACCCTTACAAACAAATTTCATTTTTGCCATTATAAAGGCGCCGGCGCTTATGGCCGTTACTCGATTATAAGCGCACCCAAATAAAATCAAGATTTTATTATAAGCGCATCTGCGCTACTATCCGGGGTATGACGGTATAAGGATTGGTGCAATAAGAGTAATTTTGTGTGGTAGCTCCAAACAGAAGAAGCTAGTAACAGTTGAAAGAGAGAGAGAGAGAGAGAGATATATATATATATATATATATATATATATATACGATTCCAGCGGCCTTTTCTTCCTGGCTGAATTGCACTTGTGTGTGGCAGGTGTAGTGAGTATGTAAGTGTTCTCGGAAATTGTAAGAATTATGGAGTAAGGAAATGCCTTAAAATAAGCCAGTCATGTACAGATACACATTTTTCGCCACAACGAAGACGGTTCGCCTGCTTCTTGCACAACCTATGGGGTGGTGACGTGGCCACTTTGTGCTTTTTCGTGGCGTCGTTGGCCAATTCCTAAAGAAAGCTTCCTACAAATCAGCACAAGCCATCTCCAAGTTTCCAGCGACCGAAAGCTGCACTCACCTCGATCGCTGATGTGTCACGTGTGTGTAGAGGCGAATTCTGTCCCAGTAGATAGTTCATGGCTGAATCTGGCCTCGTCGGATTATTGAGGGCTGCCACGTAGGCAAAATTTCCAGGATTCGTCGGTCTTTTCGCTTTTCCCAACAGACAGGGCGCCGTGGCAGAAACTGAGTATCGTCCCCTGGGAGATCCCGAACGCTGGTTGGGGCATAATATCCGCGCAGCATGGCGGTGGCGGAGCATCCTCTGCTGTTCCGCATCCCTGGCAGCTTCCTTCCCGCGACACTCCACGTCACCAGAAGCCGAATTGCCCCCGCTCTGCGCTTGCCACATTGCCCCTTCCGCCACCCGGAGAGACTGAGCACCAGGATTCGCTAAGGCGAAGGGGGAAATTGCAGCAGGCAGCACTGCCTCCAGGCTCCGCCCATCACCGTTTCCCTCCCCCTTTTCCGCGCCATTTCCGCTCCCAGCCATGTCCTCCTGCCAATTTCAAACTCCAAGCTGAGTCCGTCCCGCCCACCCCGCCTACGCCATTTCTTGATCACTAGCCTCCGCCGCCCAACTTCCTATCCTAATAAAGCCCCTCCAGAGCATTGAGCATACATCTGTTTGAAGCGTATTGAGTTCTTCACAATACTAACTTTCGACGCTGGATCTGGCAACAAGCGACTGCCGTTCGCCTGCGCGTTTCATTCGGTTGCGTAATAGGCCGTTGGCCCCCACTGCGTGAACGAATCGCCTCTTTTGAAACTCTCTCCAGCTCTCATTCACTTCTTAGTAACCATGGAGGCGTCAACCCGCGCTGCGCTGTCGCACGCGCTGCACCCGACCACCCTTGTAACTGCGCCCAGTCTACGCAATTCGGTGCAGGTTGCGGCTGCAGCACAGCCTCTACCTCCTCTCGCCGCGTCCCGCGCGTCGCGCTCGTCGCGCTATTCGCGAAAGGCGTCGTCCAAGTCAATGATGCCCGTGTCGCCGGGCCCCGGAATTGCCGCTCTTGCCGGCAAGAAGAAGCGCCCGTCTCGCAACCGCGCGGCGTCGCCGCCACCTCAAGCCATCGTGTCCGATCAATGTAAACAAAATACTCGTCTGTGACCACCCCTCGATGTCCGTAGTTTCTCAATCTCTTTGCTGCTACAGTAGGTTCCTCACCCCGCGATCTTGACGGTTTCATGTCCCTTGTCGTCAGGTCACCCGCACGATCGCTCCTCGTTCAGCCCATTCAAGAAGTTTCTGCGACGTGCTGCGATGCTATTCTGGCCCTTTGCCCCACCATGTGCGCATCTTGGCGATTTTCTTTTTCTTATTATTTCTGATAGGACTTCCCATGTAGCACATCCCGTCGTGCCCAATATTCTTCCGACTTTTGAAATCCGACTCTTCTTCTTTACCGCCGCCACCTCTCTCTCACCTTCCTTTCCCCCTTCCCCCGCCCCCGTTCACTCCGCGGTTCTCCCCCTCAATTGGCGCAGTTCCTGCAGTCTCCGAGGAGACCGGCGTCAGCACGGACGCGCACAGCGGCGGCGGCGGCGGCGGCGGCGGAGGCGGCGCCGAAGGTGGAGCAGGTGTACGAGGAGGTGGACGGGCACATGGTGCCGGCGCGCATGCTAACGTTCACCATCGTGGGCGCGTCGGGCGACCTGGCGCGCAAGAAGATCTTTCCTGCCCTCTTCGCGCTCTACTACGAGGGCTGCCTCCCGCAGGTGCGCCATGGCGCCGTGCTGGCAAGGGAAAAGCGGGAAGGGGAATGGGGAACTGGGAATGGGTAATGGGGAAATGGGGAAATGGATCGGGTCGGGCGGTGTTGGGAGGGACACGCGGATGCGCAAGGCGATGAGGCGATGAAAGGGGGATATGAAGTGAAGGAGAGGAGAAGGAGGTTGTTAACATTAGCAGTGTAAGGGTGTGGACTGCGCAATTTACGTCAAGGTCTGGCGACATAACGTCAGAACGCGATGAGAGTCGGAACTGTCATAACGTGTAAGAGGTCGGGCGGTCGGGTACCTTGTGTGCCTTTCCGTCGGGCCGGAGAGAAACGATCTCACTGACAAGAGCAACAGCGCCAGAAGCGGCGGTCGGTCTGTCAGGCGAAATGAACCCGCCATTTTTTTCCTCGCTTTTCCCCCTCTTCGCGCGCGCTTTTCCTCGACTATATCGCGGCTCAACCATTTGGCCCGTGCGCACTGACCCCCACAGTCTAATTATCTTCCCCGTCGATCCTCCCCTCCTGTTTCTCGTTCTTATGGTTCTGTTCGTGCGCGACGCGCAGCACTTTCAAATATTCGGGTACGCGCGCAGCAAGATGGACGACGCGCAGCTGCGCGAGCTCATCAGCACCACGCTCACCTGCCGCATCGACAAGAGGTGCGCGCCTTCCGCTCTCCGCTCTCCGCCCTCCGCCCCTCCGTCCGGCCCACTGCTGTCCCACTCCTCCACCTCTCCCCCTGCACCTACGTCTTCTCCCCCCTCCCGCCGTTCCTACACCCCCTCTTCCCTCCAACTCCCCAGTCCCCCATCGCTCGCGACGTCTCTCCTCTTGTTTCCCCTTGCTTTTCCGTTTCTCGTGATCCGTTGATCAACGCAATTTCGCAAATTCCCCCCTATTTTCCTCCCCCTCCTTCCCCACTCCCTCCCCTCCCCACAACTTTCCCTCCGACTTCTCGCCCTCATTACCCCTTCCACCCTCGCTTTCGTTATTCCGTTAATTCTTCTTTTGCCATCTCCTTGTTTTTTCCCAAACTCGCCTATTGCCTTGCCCTCGCCCATCCTCGTCCGTCCCTCCCCGACTCTCCCCCTCAATCTCCTCTTCTATCCTCCCTTGCGTTCCTTCGCTGGCCCTTCCCCTCCCCCTCCCTCTCCCCGCACCTTCCCTCTCCGCCGCTTCCCCGCAACCCGCGCGCGCGGCGGAGCAGTGACGAGTGCGGGGACAAGATGGACTATTTCCTGGAGCGCTGCTTCTATCACAGCGGCCAGTACGACAGCCAGGACAATTTCGCGCAGCTCGACGCGCGCATGCAGAAACTCGAGGTGAGCTCGGGGGTGCCGATGGTTTTGGGACGTCTCTCACAACCCAATTCTTATCTCGCGGCTCTTTGACCCGCGTGCTTGGGGTGATGCTGATGATGGCGCTGCTCCTGCCCAGTGTTCATGTTGCTCTCTGGAATTGTTCCTTGTTGAATGGGAAGGTCTCGCCATTCCCTTCCCTCTTCACTCCCCCACTACCCTCAGCCGTCTCTCTCGTTTCTCCCCCGCTCCCCCACTCCGCCTCCCCCCCCCCACACTCTCCCTATCCTCCGTTTCCCCACAGGAGGGGTACATAGCGGACCGCATGTTCTACCTCGCCATTCCGCCCAACGTCTTCGTGCCCGCGGCGCGCTCCGTGTCGCTGGCAGCGTCGTCCCCCTCGGGGTACACGCGCGTGATCGTGGAGAAGCCGTTCGGCCGCGACAGCGAGTCGAGTGCGCTGCTCACCCAGCAGCTGGGGCAGCACTTCACTGAGGACCAGATCTACCGGTGAGGAAAGGGCAGGGCAGGGGCGCGGTGGGGAGGGTGAACGGGAGGGAGGGGAAGGGGAGGAATTGGGGAGCAGGGGAGGGTGAGGGGGGGAAGGAGGGGCAAGGTGCGGATTCTTTCCAGTGCGCTGCTCACCAAGCAGCTTGGCCAGCACTTCACCAAGGACCAGATGTACCGGTGTTGGGAAGGAGGGGGGGTGGGGGGAAGGAAGAAGAGGTCTGCTTGTGCAGCGCTGCTCAGTTATTTTTGGAATTCTCTAAGTATCCCCCTCTAATACCCAGGTCCCACTAGCTTTTCCTCTATGAGGCACGTGGTTCTCGAAAATCTAGATAAGGTATACATATGTGGTTCGTGCCCTTCACCCCTTCATTCTCCCCAACCCCCCCACCCTACCCGCAATCCCCCCCAGCATCGACCACTACCTGGGCAAGGAGCTGGTGGAGAACCTGCTGGTGCTGCGCTTCTCGAACCTGGTGTTTGAGCCGCTGTGGTCGCGCCAGTACATCCGCAACGTGCAGATCATCTTCTCCGAGGACTTTGGCACTGAGGGCCGCGGCGGGTCAGTCAAGAGTGGGGGGCGGGGAAGAGGAGAGGGGGGGGAGATGTTGGCTGGTTGGGCTTATGAAGGAAGGGGGGTTGGCGGGGTGGGGCAGGGGATGGGTTGCTGCAATTGCTGTGGGTTGCGAGGGGGCCAGAGTACGGGTGAAAGGCCTACTGTTTTCTCCCCTCCTTCCCCTCCCCGTCCCCATCCTTCTTCCGAGCCTGACCATATCGTCCTCATTCCACCTTCCACGTGCCTCATTGCTTCCCCCTTCCACGTGCTCCTCCCCCATCTCCTTTCCCCCCGATCCCCCAACGTGCAGCTATTTTGACCACTACGGCATCATCCGGGACATCATGCAGAACCATCTGCTGCAGATCCTGACTCTCTTTGCTATGGAGCCGCCCGTCTCGCTCTCCGCTGACGACATCATCAACGAGAAGGTGCCCTCTATCCTCTTGGTACCATCCTCGTGCTGTTGTGAATTCTTAAAAGCGCTGTCCTGCCTGCCTCCTCACGCTCTGTGCCCTGTGATATTTCCGCCCACCAGCCACAACTCTACCCCATCCATACGCCCGCCATTTCACCTCATCCCTTCACCACCTCCTGGAGCTCTCCTCATCTTCTCCTCCACCACGTCTCTCCTCCGCTCCCCTCGCCCTGTGCTGCTCGCAGGTGAAGGTGCTGCGGTCCATGCGGCCGGTGAAGCTGGAGGACGCCGTTGTGGCGCAGTACAAGGGCCACGTCAGCAAAACCGGCTGCAAGTGAGCTGCCAGGGGGGGGGGGGGGGGGGGGGGGGGGGCGGAGAGAGGAAGGAAAGAGGGGAAGACGCGAATGGGGTTTTTTTATAGAGCTGTTCAGGAGATCGGTTGATCCGGTTGGGTACAGTCTTCTGTGCCTGGCCATGTCTTCTACCCATTCTTTTGTTATCAGCCACTGCCACTGAATAAGTCGCTCCGCGTAGGGAGTCAGCTAAAGCTCATGGTTATCCCATTTTTCTTCCTGCACCACTCCCACCGCCACCCCGACGGCCACCATGTGCGAGCAGGTACCAGGGGTACACGGACGACCCCACAGTGCCCCCCAACAGCATCACGCCCACGTTTTCAGCAGCAGCGCTGTTCATTGACAATGCGCGCTGGGACGGCGTGCCCTTCCTCATGAAGGCCGGCAAGGCCCTGCACGACCTCCGGTGAGGCACAGCTCAGGGATGCAATGCAGGTGAAGGTGCTGCGGTCCATGCACACCTGCACACCTGCACACCTGCACACTGGATGCGCCTGATGATGATTGGATTGTGCAGGTGCATGTGACTTTTGCGTGCATGAGCTCGTAGATATGTTGTCCGCCCATGCTCTCAAACCATTTTGTGCGAAGCGAATCCCAGTATGTGCCAGGCTCATGGCAGCCATCTCCCACCCTCCCCTCACTTTCTCCCCCTCCCCTCACTTTCTCCCCCTCCCCTCACTTTCTCCCCCTCCCCTCACTTTCTCCCCCTCCCCTCACCTCCTCCCCCTCCCCTCCCACTCCCTTTTCTCTCCCTCGTTTTCCTGCTCCCTCCCCCCCCCACCGCTTCCCCCTCCCCTGTCGGGTGTGAGATCCGAGTGCAGTGCAGGCACGTGCCAGGCAACGTGTTCCAGTACAACACGTATGGTGTGGTTGTCGACTTGTGTCAGGCACGAGAGGCATCTCCAATACCCTCCCCCACCCCCTCCCCCACCCCTTCCCCCATCCATTTCCCTTTCACTGTCAGGTGTGAGATCCGAGTGCAGTTCAGGCACGTGCCGGGCAACCTGTACCAGCACAACACGTATGGTGTGGACGTGGACATGGCGACCAACGAGCTGGTGATTCGCCTGCAGCCCAACGAGGCCATTTACCTCAAGATCAACAACAAGGTGCCGGGCCTCGACTTCAGGCTCGACCGCTCGCGCCTCAACCTGCGATACATCGACAGGTGCGTGCGCTCTCTGCTCTGCTCTGCTCTGCTGTGGATGTGGTTTGTTTGTTCTCTGTCCTCGTGTGGTTCTCATGTTCTAAGAGGCTCCGAGCCTACCTGATTCTCATCTGGCTAGCGAGACCTTTTTGCTGTGTTGAGCAGTGGACAGGTGTATGAGGGACGGTTTGATGCTGCTGTGAGACAGATATGGGAGTGTATCGTCGGTCTTTGAAATCTGCTGTTAAGTCTTGTGGTAGTGGCGTTATTGTTGTGCATGCAGGTATCAGCACGAGCTGCCAGATGCGTACGAGCGCTTGCTGCTGGATGCCATGGAAGGGGACAAGCGCCTCTTCATCCGCTCCGATGAGCTCGAGGCAGCCTGGAACATCTTCACCCCGCTGCTGCAGGACCTGGAGAAGAAGCACATTGCTCCAGAGCTTTACCCCTATGGCAGCAGAGGCCCTATTGGAGCGCACTACTTGGCTGCCAAGCACAATGTGCGATGGGGTGATCTTGCTTGATCGTGTAGGGAGGTTCTTGCTTTATCAGCTGGATGGGATGAAGGGTAGCTTGGGGTTAGGGGTAGTAGGAGCATGGGATACGGTACCAGTATGTTGGGAGAAGTTAGTGTGGTTGATGTCCCTGTGCAATGATAGCGCCAACTGTACTTTGTAATGATGCATCACACTTTTATAATGTGAACCATGCTAGCGAAGTTGAAGTTCTGAGCTCACATGAAGGAATGCTGAACTGGTGAAGTGCAAGTACAAAAATTATGTAGCAAAATGTGGGTGTAGTGTCGTCATAATACAAAAAAATACTCGACCGATTACTGGAATGCAATGTAGCCCGCTGGCCTTGTCTCGATGAACTCGCGCTGCGTCCACCATAATACAAAATCAAGGTCGAGAGCACAGCCACACACTTGTAGTTCTGAATCAAGCACAGCGTGTCTTAGTGCGCCGGAGCCGTAACTATGGAGACGCGTGGTGCCAAGCGAAAACTGGAGGAGTCCGCGTCACAAGACAGGGCTAGCAAGCGCATTCAAGTAACAATGCCGCTTTGCCAGCCATCTGTCGACAAGGAAGCAGAGATCGATAAGAAACTTGTGGAGGCTCTGCTCTTGGACATCGCAGAAGGGAACAATGACGAAGGTAGCTCGTCAGCATGCTCCTTTCTTTCTTCACCGTCTTCTAATGCACTTCTAATGTATAATTGCCTTGCCAGAAGTCGAGGACTCAGACTGGTTTGGAGATGTTGATGACATGCCCGCTGATCCAAACGTGCCAGAAGCCAAGGATTTTCATGCAACCTTTCAAGTGAATTACTCCAAGGTCTTTAATCATTTTTTGGGGATTTGCGTCCAAAGCCGACAGTTCTGTTCTGAACTCCTGCCTCTCACACGTATTGGTTTCGTTCTGCAGGCGTCTTTGCAATTTCACGGAGCTAACTCTCTCCACAATCATTCGGAAGAGTAAGCCTTTGAACCTTATGCCGTTCCTAAAAGGTGAAATGTGACTGAAAAAAAAAAAAAAAAAAAAAAAAAGATTAACATCTGTGAAACGACTGCGCTGGTCAAGGACTTCTTGTGGAGATGGACCGTTGACTTATATTTTTGTCATGGAGCCCACGAGTTAAACGATTCTTGTATCACTCGGTCGATATCCGCTGAGGAGTGTTGCTGCTAGCGCAGTTATGTGTACATCGACCATGCTATTATTGAAGGGCATTTCTAATGACACTGCGTTTTAATTTTACTATTGCGTCACTGATTAAATAATTTAGATGTTCCACCAGCACATGTAGAGGCCTTGTGTGCTGTTCCAGTAGAGCTCGTTCCACCTACCAGTACATGGAGGGATTAACTGGGCCGCCTTCAGCTAAGCAGTCCGCATAGGAATGCTCCCAGATGAAGTAATGGCGAAATCACCTGTTGGAGCCAGCATCATGCTTTCAGCTTACAAGGATAATGTGTATGGTGAACCTACACAGGGGAAATTAGTTGCACTCAGTGAGTGACTGATCAATGCATCAATCATTCACCAACCACGAGGAGGAATTCTGTGCAAGATGAGTTGCTTGATGGGCTTGGGCACAGGTTCATAGGGTCGAATGTAGACCCGCCTGATTTATCAGACGGGCCCATGGGGCCCGGCTGATTCGTCATAAGCTTGGCTTTCCCGCGCCTGATGGATCAGATATTCCTGTTATTCGTTACTGATTTATTTGACGTTCGTTTTGCCTGGTATCCGCGCGCAAAAGATATTATATATTTCCGAAACGGTACATTGTCATACATTGCGCAGAGTCAATAGCAAAGAACATGTCAACCATAGGTATACGCATAAAGTAGCTGAGCGACGGGAACGGAGCTGAGCTACAGGAATGGATCGCAGCGACGGACAGAGGAGCATACTGGTGTGAGGGACCACAAGAGTGAGGAGAGCGAAGGGACGGGGAACGAGGCATAAGGGAGTGACGGAGCGACAGGAGCTGGGAGCGAGTCAGTGACGAGAGATCCTTGCGAGAGTCAGGAGCAAGTGAGAGGGGAGAGGGAGCGACGGGAGCGATGCTAGCGACCGGCGCGACGGCGAGGGAGGCACGCGACGAAGAGAGCGACGGGTATTAGGGGGGTACGAGTCAAAGGGAGCCATGGGCGAGGAGAGGAAGCAACGGGAGGGGGCAGAGTGAGCAAGACGGGAGCGTCGCTAGCGGCCAAAGTCACGGGCGAGGAGAGAGGGAAGTGACGAAATGGGAGGAAGGATGGGAGCGGCGAGCTCGAAGTGAGGGAGCACTAGGAGCCAGTAGAGCTGTAATGGGAGGGAGCGAAGGGAGCAAGAGTGACGGGGAGTTGCTACAGAGTGCTGGGAAGGCAACAGCACCATAATGCTGGGAACTGCCAGGGGGGTACATGGTGCTAGATTGATGTGGCAGGTGCATTTATCGGTTGAAGACAAGGTTGAAGCACTGCCACAGATGAAACCAAGATTACACTTCTGATCAATGAGATAAATCATGAAAATCACTTATGGCCAGTGAGGTGGATGAATAGTGGATTTCTGGAAAATCAGAATACCGGTACCTAACAGATCAGTTTGAAAAAAAAAAAAAAAAAAAAAGGTCTGAAATGTCACACACTAGCTGCAGGTGGCAGCTGCCATGCCATGTCACCTGGACCGGACAAGAGTTTGCTGCTGTTCCAGTTCATGGCTATGGCAACTGAACTGAGGCTACGGAGACGTCCAGGTCCTTGGTCCTTTTGAGTTCTGATGCTAATGCAGTCTACATGTACGCTACGCTCTCTCAACATGCTCATGCAAACATCTACAAAGCTTGATGACCCTAAATCCTCCTGACCAACAGGACCTGGAGTCAATTCTAAGACACTTCCATGTACGGTATAACAATTCGAAACACTGGTCCCAACTTGAAGCACTACAGCGGCTTATGCCTGAGAAGAATGAGCACTTAGCCACTCGAAAATGTCCTGACAGAGAGACGAGTGAAGAGGACAAGATGGGTGGGGGGACGAGAGAAAGGGAAGAAGTTTTGGGAAACGAAGGTTAAAGGAAATGAGAAACAGTGGCGATGCTTATGTGATCAGTAAAACAGTCAGTGCTGCATCAGTGCTCTGCACATCATAACATGCAGTCCGCGCTCTGTATACATTCGTCACCCTAACAGACAGCCGTGCAAGAAGACTGGCTGACATGTGGCCGTTTTACAGCCCAATGATGACACACAGTGGAATCACTTGATTACAGAAGTCTCTTCCTCCTTTCCTTCATTTGCTTTTATCCCTTTCTCGTCCTCACCTTGAACACGATCTCAACGTTCTCATCAAACTCCCCTTCTGTGAGGCAGTGCCAGAGACCCGGGTACAGCTTGAATGTCTTATCTGTGCTGCGCGCCTTCTCGTACAACGCCTGGCTCACTGCAGGCTCTGTCACGGTATCAGCGTCACCATGGAGCAGGAGGAATGGCAGGGTCACCTGACACACATAGGCGAAATGTAAGGAACATAGATAAAGAATGACGAGCACATCGTGTTGGTGATAGGAGCAGGTCTTTGGTCTTTGAAGAAGTCGATAAATTGAGAACAGGAAACGCAAGATTGCACTAAATTACTGCTGAGGTCAGCATACCTCATCCAGCCGTCGCTCGAGGTCTTCACTGGTCTGTAGCATGGTGAGGGCTGTTCGCAGGCGAGGCTTGTCCGTGAAGGTGTACGGGCTGGCCCGGATCTGTCATGTGAACGTATAAGGCGCATTAAATAACCACAAATTGGCGCATAAACAGAGCTGGCAACATTTTTCTAAATGGCAGGAACACCAAACATGCTTTAGTGTCAAATACAAGGCCCCATACCTTTTCTCTCTTAACCGGGTCATGGTTAGCTGCGCTGATGATGTCAGAAGTGGGGACAACTTTCCAAGTCGGCAGAAGATATGCAAGGTTCTTCATGACTGCAGTGACGATCGCTGGTGGCTTCACTTTATCAGAGATCTGCAGATAGGGCAACAGAGAAGAGACTTTGGTGCGCACACATTCAACTCAGGGTCAGCCATACCGCAATCGTGCCCGTAACCTCAAATAATTTCATCAAACCCGTATCAACCATATCCTCTTGCTCCGCTTCCTTCTATACCGTCCCTCTCCATTCCTTTGGCGTTTGAACCCACTCCACACGCTCCCCCTTTTGAAGGTGCAAAGCCTTGCATGCGTGTCCCGAGCTGCCATTCCCCACCTTGCACATGGGCGCCATGAGAATGGCTCCATCCCAAGCAGTGGGCTCCTTGCGGTGCAGGCGGAGGGTCACTGCTCCCCCCATTGACTCCCCCATCATAAATTTGCGCTTGTTCTTGTACTCCTCGCGCTCTGCACGCCCCAGAGCCAACCATGCGTATCCACAATAGCACGCATGTACACATAAACATACGGAGGAGCAGGGAACAGAGAGGGGTAAGACCCAGGATTACCAAGAACGGCTCTGCCATGGTGTAAATGAACAGCGCTTGCACCAAAGAAAGAGGGAAAAGCTCCAAGCAGCGCCATAACTCATCTGAATCTGTTACCTCGAATAGGGGTGAAATAATCAACGATGTCGTCAATGATGGTCTCAAACTGCGGAATGTACACTGAAAGACCTTCTGACCTACAGATATAGGCACAAACAGTTTGGTTGAACAGGAAGGTTAAAAAAAAAAAAACAACCTACATCATTTGCAGCTAATTCTGAAGTTGTTCGATGCGAAAGGAAAGATAATGCAATGGTCAGTACCTTCCATGGCCCTCGTAGTCAATCCCAAAAACTGCATAACCTTCAGATGCTAGCCGCTCTGCTGTGGCTGCTCATAAGCATGGAGAGAAGAAACAACACCTCAGATGTCGGACAATGGCGCAAGGACACTGTGGAACGAATTCGCCACAATTCTGGGATAGTGCGTGTGGAATATAAGAGCAGTCAAACTTACAAGCAAAAAAAGTGGTGCAGTCCACAGCGTAGCCTGAATAATCAAACAATGCCATAAACAGATATCCAGACAAAATCGAACCCCACAGTCAGAATCCCGTTCAGAAGAAGAAGGCGAATGCCACGTTACAAAGGGATGGAACTCATGATGCTCGCACCGTGAAGGAGGAGGATGACTGCCTTTGGCTCGCCGTTCGCAGGAAGCCATGAAGCAGTCTGAAGCTTCATGCCCCTCGAGTTCGTAAAGAACTCCTGTTAAGAGCCAAAGACGTGGATAAGACGCTGGAATCTCCGCCATAAACGATATGGCAAGTGGTTGAGCATAAATATGATCCCTTCGGCCCGCTTACCTCGTTGTACTTAATCCCTTTAGATTCCTGTAATTACAAAGCGTACAGTCAAATATGAGAATTTCCTCACGAGCTAACGACGAATCAAAACGGTGGAAGGAGAAAATTATAACGACAGACGTACATAGTAAGCTGCATCCTTGGCAACTGCTTCAGCCATCCTCGAGATCGTCACGACAATAGGTTTTCGAAAAGCTGTGTCAACACTCCTTTCTTTGTATGATAACCGCTGGCCGAGTCCAACAAGCTGTGTAGAAACCGAAGAAGCTGCTTTCCACGCCACTCCAGGAAATTCTCGATGGGAGAGAAGACGAGAAGGTTTGATGCAAGCAACTCGTTGTCTCAGGGCGTGCTCCAGAAGAACGACTGGCCAGTTCACTTTTCCCGAAGGCCAGTTCTGTACAATCTTGGGCCCATTCTGGACAAGACTGAGGGTTCGGTTCAGGAACTGGATGTACGAATTACAAACCTGGAATTGCTCGTGCAAATACGTCCTAAAATTCAGCCCTTAAAATGGAGAACCTTTGATGCGTGGTTGCTGCGGACAGCACGTGTTGGATATTTCGGCTGACGGTGTTCCTCCCGCACCTAGTTTGGCGAATCACGGAAGCTGTGCGAGATTAGTTACAGTTACGCTTACGGTACTTCAGTCATGAAGGTTTACCTTCTTAGTTCTGCAAACTTTGAGAAGTTAAAGGGTGACACTTGAATTACACAACGAAGTCAAGGTAGGAATTGTAGGTTTGGAAAAACACAGCAGGAGGTTCAGCGGGAAAACCAAAACCAATTGCATTGAAAACCCAGTTGCTGGAAGAGGCAAACCGGCCGTCACCACCAGTTTGCCTCCCGACTAGGTAATTAGGACCTTGGATTTTGAATTAAACGTAGCTAAGCATGTCGATGCAGGTTGGGCCAGCCATATACTGAAATCATATTTAATGAATCATTCTAATGTATGTTGTAAATAGAAGCAAATTCTACGGAATACTGCAGTCTGTACGCCCCTTCTTACTGGTGTTCAGCAAAGTATAGTTGCACAGCTACCTTTACCGCAAAGCACCGAACCGAAGCACTCTACGCCAGCCGATTCCAGACACTTGACTCGAGCCCTGTCCTTCCTAATCCCCCACCAACCAGCCATGGCCGCCGCTACGAAAGGACCAAGCTTGCAGGATTGGGAGTTGATGGCGCTGGAATTCAAGCTGGCATGCTTCACGCCATGCGCACCTCCATTCCCAAGGCTCCAGTGATCTCATTTCTAGTTCAGGGTCGTCGCGCTGTCGATTCATTCAGTACCCGAGTTCTACGAGCGATCCGCAAATGTGTTCGTGTAGCAAGTCCCCGCACGCGGTGATTGCGCTTGCCCGCTCGCTACGTCGACCTTATCGTGTCCGCCTGCCGCTGCCCTTCATAGCCTAGCTTCCAAAAGTTACGCATTGTCGTCGAATCCTGCTAGCCCCGTTCCTCCCTCCCTGACCAATTAGTCGCACTAGCCCGGATTCAAGACTCGCGTAGTTCCAGAGTCCCCTGCTCGTATTTCACGGATGGCTCAGCGGCTCAATCCACGCGCTCCCACCGCCGCAACCGCCGGATCCAGCTCTTCCGGCACCTCTGCGATTCTCGAGCACGACTCCGGCGACGCTGCGACGACCTCTGCGACGTCGTCCATGACGTCGGCCGCAGCGTCGTCCTCCTCGGCGGGAAGCGCCCATGATGACGCCCCTGCGACGCTGAGCGACGCCGAGCGACGTCGCATGGCGGGGCTGGGCGGCGGCGGGGCGAGCATCGGCGGGTTGCCGCCGTCGCGAAGGCATCGCACGGTGGCGGCGTTCGTGGCGATGTCGCTCGTTCTCGCGGCTTACGTCATGGGCGTCGCGCCGTCCCTGCCGCGCCTAGGACGAGCCATTCTCAGAAGGAGGTACGGCCATGGAGCAGAGTGGAGGGTGGACGGGTAGAGGGATGGACGGATGGAGCGATGGTGGGCGTCGCACCGAAAAATTCAACTTTGCCTCCTTAGCGCTTTCCTCCCCTCCCCTGCGAACGCACACAATATCACCGTCCCCAGTTTCCCACTCCCCTGCCCACGATCATTCATTTTGCGCTCTTCTCATCTACCCCTCCCCTTCCCTCCTCCCTCCTTCCCCTTCATCTCCTTCCCCTCCTCCCGCTCCGCCGTATCTTTCCCCCTCCTCTCCTCCTTTCCCCTTCCTGTTCACCTACCCCTCCCCCTCCTCCTCGCATTCCTTCCGCCTCTTCTCCCCCACTCCCCCCCAGCCGCGCATCCCGCCCGTCCGACCCCATCACGCGGTGGACGCGGCGCCTGGCGGAGGGAGCAGCGCTGGCGGCGGTGCGCGAGGGCATCCGCCCGCTGCCCTTCCGCCCGGGACCCGCGCTGCAGCGCCCGCGCCGGCGGAGAGAGCAGGCGGAGGGGGACGAGGCGGGTGGAGTGGGCGGATTAGGGGGAGGGAGGGGGAGAGGGGGGTACCGGGCACCGCAGGGGGTGGAGGAGGCGGATGAGTGTGGGGTGCCGAGGAGGGTGGGGCGGTGTGGGTTGCGGAAGGGGGAGAGGGTGCATGTAGCTGTGGTCAGCCAAGGGGAGGCGAGGAATGCGCTTGTGCTGGTGAGTGAGTGAGTGGGGAGCGGGGTGATGCTTGGGACGTACTACACTACACTAGGTCGATTGGGACTTATTTAATCTATTCCTGATCTATTCTGTGTGCTCTCTGTTGTCACTTCTCCTGACCCGTTACTTGCTCCGCGCGCCCCAACCTCCGCCGCCTAACGTAACCCCACCCACCAAACCAGCCACTCCATCCATGCCCACACGCCCCAACCTCCTATTTCCCGTCCCCTCCAACCACACTCTGCCCCCCTCCTTCCCCCACACAGACCCAGCTGCGGCTGCTCATCGCATCCGTGGCAGCGCACACCAGGTGTCCACTCACCTTCCACCTCGTCATTCCACCCGTCGACCTCAATGCCACTCTCGCGGCGCTGCACACCTTCCCTGCTGTGCGCATCCACCCGCTGCCCAGCCCTTTCATCTCCGTCACTTCTCCCTCTGCCACCGCTGCTAACGGCAGCTCCACTGGAGAGCCTTCTGGTGCTGGCTCGCTGCAGTTTGACTCTGTCGGTGCGTCATCGGGGTATCAAGAGTCCAAATCAGATCTCCGGAAGCTCTCTGCCGTGCCTTTCTTGCTTGCCATTCATGCTCTTCCCATGCGCTGGCTCAAGGCACAAGCCAGGCTGCTCGGCACGCATCCGAACCTGTCCCCTGACGGGCCTGCTGCTTTGGGTCGGTTTCTCCTGGCAGATATCCTTTGGCAGGTTGACGCTGCTATTGTGATGCAACCAGACGTGATTGTAGGGGGCGACTTGCAGGTACTCTGGAAAACGATTGAGCGGAGTAAGGGGACGAGCGAACTTCTGTCTTTAATTGTTCCTCTGGAAGAGGTTCAGGTTGGGGAGGAGGAGCAGCAGCAGCAGCAGCAGCAGCAGCAGGGAGGGCTGCTAGGATTGGGGAGTTGGTTTAGGAGAACCAGGGCTCGAATATCGCTTAATACGATGCGAATGGGGAATGGCGTGCTGCTGATGAATCTGGAGAGGCTCAGATTGCACGGCACAGGCAAGGTGAGTGTTTTGAACAGGGCACCGCACCTATTCGGGCTTCACTCCACACCCTTTAATTTCCTGGGTCAGAAGGTGGTCATGGGAGTAAATTAGGTTGTCTGATGAGTGTTTTGCTTCTGCTTTGGGAGCTGCAATGAATTTTTTGTGGTGTCGCTTCACCAAGGATGTGAGGAGCTAATGGTGTCACCAGTAACCATTGATACATGTATCTTTGTGTCCTGTACCAACTTTTTTCCCATGTCATTGCGACTTGCATTACATGCAGCTTCTCTCCCGTGCACTACAACACCGTCCACTCACATTGGAGCCCCTTTTCGATCACAACCGTCTTGAATCCTCTCTCTTCCTCATTGTCTGCCGCAAGTTCCCGCGAACCTGTGCTCCTTTATCCCCGCTTTGGGCTATTGACGGTTGCTCTCCTGGCACTCCTTTCTCTGGATTCTCTTCTCACGGTCGAGATGCTGCTACAGGAATGTGCTGGATGCTTGCACACATGCATTGCCAAGCACCTGTACGTGCAGAGAATGTGATTGAAGTGAAAGGGAAGGGGCAAGGAGGGGAATTGGAGGGTGTTTATGGGGCATTTAAAGGGGAGGGGAGGGAGCAGGAGAGGGAGGATGCTGCAGGTGTGTATCGGTTGCCTGAAGGGGCTGGATGGGAAGAGGCCGTCCAGTTTGCAATGAATTATTTTGCTTCAAGTGGTGGGGATGGCAGTGGGCAATAACCAAATGTGGATCCCGTGTAATCTGTGCTGTGTAACCCAACCCCATCAATGCATGCGCAACCTTGTGGGTACGGTATTGATTCTTGCCGTGTCAATTTACGTAGGCTGGTGCGCCTACATGTCTGTTCTGCCTGATTTGCTGCATCTTTTCAGAATGGAGTGGCTAAACGTGTGTAGGTAGGGTTTGGGACACGCTGAAGAATCAGAGGCGTCACACGATTTTACGCTGAAAGTCAGCCAAAGCCAGCCCAAGACAAGAAGTAAACCCATTTTTCCACTAGAACGTTACTGGTTTCTCTTGAAAAAAGGCTGGAAAAAACAGCCCCAAGTCAGAAAAAAAAACTCGGAAAACAAGGTTGAATTAGTGTAAAAAGGCTGCAATCTGAGGGCCTTGCAAGGACAACTTCTGACTGAATGAAGACAGCCACACTTCACAAAAAGCCAAGTACCGTACCCCTCCTGCATTTTACCCTTCATAATCTGAAAGGCTTGTTCTTGTCAACGCCAAGGCATGCAGAAGAATCACTATCAGCACACGAAACAGGTGCATTTACTGTCTGGTTACAGGTTACCAACAGGGCCATTTGTTGGCAGTTTCACATAAATAAGCACTATAATATAAATAGATGTGGGTCACCTCTAGGGTAAACACTTAGCTGCCCGGCCATCATCTTTAGCATTGCTTTTTCCTTTGAACTTCCTGGCTCTTTGAGTTTGCATTGAGAGCTGAGAGGGGCTTCCTGCCCTGTGTGGAGCCTTCAGCAACAGGATCAATGTCATGCAGAAGCATCATAACATGAACTCGTTTGCTTCGAGTATCAGAATATGGCTGCAAGAGATAACAACTGTTAGCAAAATTATGTTGCGTCCCAGTCAGAAAATTGATGTTGTACATACCTGGAGAAGCTCATTTAGTACGCTGTCCCTCAAAGTATGCATGAGCTTTAGTCGAAGTGATCCACTGGACCTGGAACGGCTTTCTGGTAGTATCCATCAACCAAATCGCTCAAACTCCTTCATGGAGATGCACTCGTACCTTATACGTGTGAAGAGGAGTATGCAGCACTGAAGGACCATGTCAAGAAGATGTATGCCCGTTGGACCAGGAGACGTGCTGATGTCAGTTACCTGAAACCGAACCAGGTCAATATCTCCAAGGGAAGAATGCAAGAGCTGACTGGAAAACTCAAATCACCTACCAATTTGCAGAATGTAATAATAATTCCGTCAAGGATCCCTCGCATGTCAGGTTTACACAGTGCCCTCCGAATGTTGTCATGTTGAAGCGCCCTCTCAATGATTGTTGTGCTCATCTGCGGACTCGAAAAATCATGATAAGAACTGAAACCAGCCAGCAACAACAACACTCACCACTTTGCTTAGTTCGCTGCCTAGATGTGCTGCGTGCAAGCAGACGCCAAAAACCTTCGCCTCAAGAACCCATTGACACACAGATTCTTCCTTACCCTGATCATACTGCCGTAAGTTTGGGATTTACTTTTTTTTTCACCTTGGTATCCATAATATTGGAAAATCGTTACCTGACAAAGAGCAGCGATCACAGAAAGGCTCATGAGCCGTAGGTTTTCATATATCTCGTTTTGAGCATTTTCTTTCGAGAGTATCAATGGCAGAATGTAGCTCCCGATATTTGCTACAAACCAAATCAAAAGCTGTATCAGCGACAAGGGGACGGAGGACATAAACACGAGCACCAGAGCTTCAATACCTCTAATAAATTCTCCACGGGTCTCGGGGTTGTGTGCGATGCTCTGCTCGTTGTTAAAATCAGCATATTATCTCGTGAAAAACACGACAGGACTCAGAACATGCCTGAAGTAATGTAAGAACATTGCCGATCCGTTTGGAAGCCCGGACTGAAAGTTCTCCATCGGTAAACTTCGGATAGACAGAGACGATTTCCTGGCGAAACATTCGCTTGTCAGTTGTGGCCAAGTCAATGAATGTCGAAGCGAATGCCTACCTGTATGAGGATGGGTAGGGTACCAAAGGAGTAGCAGAGAAAAATCCCAGTCATTGCGTAGAGGAACTGGTCATCGTCACGTTTCTGTTCAAAAGACGAGACATTAGTGTTGTGACGGGTATGTGTGCGTTAAAAGCCGAGATGCTGGCATCTTACGTCGTTTAACATGCCGCTGAGACTTCTGAGTGCGTTTTCCCTCAGATCTTCGGCCTGAAATTCTAGAATCAAGTCTGGCACAGCCAGAATTCTCCGAAAAGGTCCTTTGTGTTTCCTGCCTCCTCTCTTTCGCCGCCTGAGAGCAGCGAGAGAGGCATCCTCACCATGGTCATCGTCAAATATGTCCATGACCAGGAAGGTGGAGAGGAGATTCTCGAGGATTCCGTGGGGAGTCTCCTTGATAAACGTCTGGAATGGATTCGAGCCGCAGGTTGAGGGTGGACAACCTGGGTGGAGCAACACTCGAAAGACGCGAGGCGCTGGTTCACCGAGTTAATCATATCCGTTATTACGAATCTGTCTGGAGCTATAAAATCATGATTTGAAGAGTGTGCAGTATATTCATGTTGGAACAATTCCGTCCAAAATATATCAAAACATCACCCACCCACTAAAATATACCAAAGTAAAGATATATGAGATGTATGTAGACTTCATTATAACACATATTACTATGGAAGCTATTGCTTCCAAAGTAAAGAATGGAACATCGATCATTATAATTGTTGGAAAATAATTTTTATAAATACTTGTGTAACTGCCAATAGCTATGGTTTTAGTATAGTTACTAAGGGCGTGTGTGATTTCTGGAAAACTGTCAAAGTTCGAACTCAATCCGCTTTGAACCGTGGTGGAACACCTCTGAACTGTATCCTACCGTGTAGAACCGTGATAAAAGTTCGAAATTTGGGAAGGTAAAAAAAAAATCACACACGCCCTAAATCCCGAATACAACACGATTATTTTCAAGTTCAAGATTCTTGAACTTGAAATCGTAAAAAATAGGGTTACCCTACTTTGTTTGAAAGAACTCTTGCGATTCTGGGACAACGCCTGGCGACACACTCTCCTCATTGGTTGTTGTGCACAATCGCAAAGCAGAACCGAACGCCGCTCAGGTTGGCCCATTGTTTGGCTCTCACATATCTTAAACACCTAGTAGTACTCATGAGCGGCCTACTCCCTCACGTAAGTAGAAAGCCAGTGCGGCACCAGCTAGTTCATACTGTCAAAGTATAAATGTGTTATATGTTTGTAGGCTGTAGTGGGGTAGCCAATATGGGGTACAACCCCAACTAGGGTTTCCTACTTGTACTATTGTTTCTCTCAATCCAATCATTCTTGCCTCATAGTTTTCACATGGTTTCAGAGCAGTAGGTCCGTTAGGACCGATTCTTTTGTTCCGGGCCCACCGAATACCTGTCTGACTGCGGTTACCGCGCTGCCCCACATGCGCCCTGCCTAGCCTGCCCGTCGCGCTGCCCCTAATCCCGCGCCCGGCCCCTTCCCTGCCCGTCGCGTCGCCCTAAGCCCGCGCCCAGCCCCCTGCCTGCCCGTCGCGCTGCTCCCCTAAGCCCGCGCCCGGCCCCTGCCTGCCCGTCGCGCTGCCCCTAAGCCCGCGCCCGTGCCTGCCCGTCGCGCTGCCCCCCTAAGCCCGCGCCCGGCCCTTGCCTGCCCGACGCGCTGCCCCTCGGCCCGCGCCCGGCCCCTGCCTGCCCGGCGCGCTGCCCCCTAAGCCCGCGCCCGGCCCCTGACTGCCCGACGCGTTGCCCCTAAGCCCGCGCCCGGCCCCTGCCTGCCCGTCGCGCTGCCCCCTAAGCCCGCGCCCGGCCCCTCCCTGCCCGACGCACTGCCCCTAAGCCCGCGCCCGGCCCCTGCCTGCCCGTCGCGCTGCCCCTAAGCCCGCGCCCGGCCCCTGCCTGCCCATCGCGTTGCCCTAAGCCCGCGCCCGGCCCCCTGCCTACCGCCGCGCTGCCTTTATGCCCTCGCCCGGCCCTTTGCCTGCCCCAGCATACTGCTTTACGCCTGCCTACCTCGTACTGCTGCCATGGCGACCATGAATGTGCGAGCCTGACGGTCGCCCGATCGCATTTCCCACTTGGCTTGATGATCTGCAGCTTTTTCTTCTGACTGATGCCAAAGATGGTGTCTCGATTTTTGACTATGCCACTGGCACTGCCGCTGCTCCTGCTGACAGTGCTCCTGCTCTTGACCGCTCACAGTGGCAGACTCGCGATGCTGCTGCGCGCCTTGCTATCCGCAACCATCTGCCGATCGCTGAGCGCGCGCATTTCAGTCAGCACAAAACTGCCAAGGCACTTTATGACGCAGTAGTTGCACGCTACTCCTCCCCAGCCACTGCCGCTGTAGGAGGCCTCATCCTGCCCTACCTGTTCCCTGACCTGTCCTCCTTCCCCACTGCTGCGGACTTGATTACTCACCTTCGCGATAGTGAGGCCCGCTTTAACGCCGCTCTTAAGGACGAGTTCCGTGCCAAGAACCCCCCTCCGCTCTACTTTACCCTCTACCTCCTCGTCACCCGCCTCCCTGACACCCTTAGCACAGTCAGGGACCACTTCCTCGCCATTGACGCCCCCGAGATCACCCTAGACGACTTCGAGCGAAAGCTTCTCGCAACGGAGAAGAATCTCCTAGCTGCCGGTGCCGCTCGAGGCACTCCCCGCACTCCCCTCTTTGAGGGGTGCTCCCCCTCCCCCCTCACCCCCTCGTACGCCTCGGTTGCTACTCCCGTTGACCTTCCTGGTGCTGAGAGGGTCGCAGCTGCTTCCATTTCTGGTGGGAAGCGCGGCGGGGGCCGGGGCGGCAAAGGGGGCAGGGGTGGCGGGGGTGGGGGTGGGGGGAGCGGTGGTGGGGGCGGTGGGGGTGGTGGGGGAGGTGGAGGTGGTCGTGGGGGTGGTGGAGGTGGCAGCGGAGGCAAGGGGGGAGGAGGCGGTGGTGGTGGGGGTGGTGGTGGAGGCGGGAGTGGGACCGGCCAACAGCAGCAGCAGTAGCAGCAGCAGCAGCAGCAGCAGTCGCAGCAGCAGCAGCAGCGCTAGACCCCCTCCTCTCAGCAGCTTCATGACTGGTATGCTGGGCGTGGGGCGTCTGGGGGTTCTGGTCGCTGCCCCTATGTCATTCTCACTGGCCCTCGCAAGGGCCGCACGTGCAACGGCCTTCACCCTGAGT